TTTCCGTTCCGTCTTCTCCTTTTATATCCTGTCACCTTTGCCCACGTCCCCTCCCTCTACCCTTCCTTTTTAGCCTCGCTACACGTTCATCCTGTAAACCATCGAGAGAGCAGAGAAGTAGAGATAGAGGAGTGAGCGAGGTCTCCAGGTGGGCGGCGGAGATCGATAGAACCGCGACCCAGCTTTACCCGACCAACCTGGGGAACTCGCTGCTACTGCTGCTACTATTACTACTACTACTACTATTACTAGTAGTAATAGTAGTAGTAGTAGTAGTAGTAGTATTACTACTACCACTGTACCAGTGCTAATTACTATTGCTAGTTTTTCCTTCTCTCCGTCCACACTCGTAACAAGCCTGCATTACAAAAAGTAATCACGCGTTTCTTACGCTACACACCTAACCATTCTTCCGTTTTCCTCTACATTAGGCCCTATTGTTCCCCACTTAACCAATTGTCATCCTCTTTTATCACGGATACCAGTTTCTTTCTGTCTTTGTTCGCTGCTTGCGCGGCGTCCATTTCTTTATCGTTCGATCCTTTCGTTTTTCGACTTTATCTTTCGTGGAACGAAAAGGAAGGAAATTGTTTTCTGGATAAAGAATCGCAAAATTCAGTCAGATTCGAAGATTCAACTTAAAATTGTATTTTAAAATAATATACCGAGAAGTTGAAAGAAAGAAAAGAATAAAGAAACGACAACTTATATTCTACTTTCGAAACTTTGTTAAAATATTTATTTACTGCGGGCAATTGTAATGCTGTTTCGTTTCAAAATATCAAAAGAGACGTTGATATTTGTATTAGAATAAAAATATTTCCATCATTTTCGTTAATTATTTCTTTCTCTCGATTAAAAAGCTCCTATCGATTCGAAGCGATCGATCAATTTTCCTTTAAAAACTTTCTTTTTCATATATATTCATATATTAATTTATTTCGTTTCTATTCGTTCAAATTCGATCAAGAATCTACAGCTTTACGAATTAATTTAACCACGCATCGATTCCCCGTTTCTCATTTTCCTAAGCGACTTACTTATCTACACGTAATTAAATTACGTGCAAAAAAAAGAAAATGAAAGCAGTTTTTCATTTTCTCGTTATATCTCGTCGTCTCGTATTCGACGATACGATTACGCACGCTAAGGGACGATAAAATCGAACCAACATTTTGAAAGAAATTTTCGAAATCGGTAAAACGCGCGCGATATATTACGCGCAAATTTACGGTCGTTGCGAATTCACGTTGGCATCGGGATACGCGAAAGCGTGTATTAACGTTTTACGTAGAAACTATAGTAACGTGGTTGGTTGTAAAAATCGATAATCCTGGGTTTCGAGCCGTGTCGCGTGAGCTACACTCGTTGCACTATTACTATCATCAATCTCTCTCTTTTTTTTCAATCCTTCTTTCTCTCGCTCAACTTTTTTTTGTCCACCGTCTAAGGCTAAACTGGACGACGTTAAACTTTCCTTTTTTAGAACGTCGAATCGTCGAATCCGACAAACGATACGATTTATAAAATTATCAAAAAGAAAGTAAGACGTCCGTCTCGTCTAAAGTAATAAGAAGAAATTAATTTACCAGAGCGTCGCTGCTACAAACTTTATTTAATCGACCAATATCCATTACTCTCTATTCGTTGCTTCACTTTATTCCTACGCTACTTTCCCTCCCGCCAATCTCATTTTTCACCGCGACACAAATTTATTTTATTCTCGAACGCGATTTATCGCGTCCTTCATTTTCACCAATTATCAGACCGAAATTAATTCGGATGAAAAACTAGGCGAGGAGCAACCACGTCGTTCAACGAGAAATCTCGTTCGAACTTCATTATTCGAAACGTTACGATTTACGGTAATACGAAAGACACTCGATGACATCATCCAGTCGGAAGGGAGTAGGAGAGAGATAGAGAAAGACAGAGAGAAAGGTCGCGATGAAAATTAGACGAAAAATAATCTAGAAACCGATATTTTGCCGATTCGCATTCGCGTTCCCGATAGAGAAACGTTCTTCATCGTTTCGTTAAATTGCTTAAAATATCGAAAGCAGCTCGAAAATCGAATAGCATTTCGTACGAGAAAGATCGACGTATACTTGAGCTATTAAGAAGTTAAAAAGTTCGACTTTAACGAGTATTTTTCGACGACCACATTTCTCTTCGTAGAAAAAAGTAAATGACATCATTTACGGGTCGTTCACAACTGACTCGAAAGAATTTTGATCTCTCTCTCTCTCTCTCTCTCTCTCTCTCTCTCTCTCTCTCTCTCTCTCTCTTTCTCGCCTCTTTCGACCGAGATAATCACGTTGATGCTCTTATTTTCGTTATTTTCGGATCGAGAACGAAATGAAATCGACTAATATATCGCGCAAATCTCTTTTCTTTCCCGATTACGGAAAACACGCGATTATGGAACGTAGTTTGATTTAATCACGTGTAATTTTTATCGTTATCGAAGATATTTAGATCGAATCGAAACCTAATTTACGTTTAATTTACGCTAATTTAAATTGTATATCGCTGCTACTCGAGACGACGCGAGCCAAACGAGCGAGAAAAGCGTATTTCGGTGAGATGCATAAATTTATTAATGTTGTTCGCGTGTTTCGACCGGTAAATGGAAATTGCGCATTGCGTCTTTCGTAAGAAAAATAAAATTTCACCGATCGACCGATCTATCGATCGATCGATCCCAAAAATTCGACCAGCGACGAACGAGTTCTTTTTCGCGATCATTGCCAAGTTTTGGCAAACCATACGGCGAATATGCCTCGATTCGCCGATTATAAATCGAGAATTTAAGATTTATTGCGTTTTATCTTTTTCGTCATTCCCATGAATCGTGTGCGATGTAAAATATAAAACTATCGATTTTATCTCGTTTGTTCCACTTTCACTTGTTTGAAAACAAATAATTTTAAATAATTTACAGCGTACGATTACTCTCTCGAACTCTAGTTCTCGTATAAAACGGATATACGTTCGGTACTCGTAATTTACAACGTTGAATGATATCTTATCATCGAAGCGAAGACGATGAATCGGAAGACAAATCGAAACGTTAAAAATGAATTTATCTTCGATCGTTAATCGTTGATGAATCTCGAAAGAAGGGCAAAGAAAGGAAGCTTCGATCGATAGATTCGAATAAATTTATCGATCGGTCAAATCGACCACTAAAAAGTTTTCTTAAAAATAAAGAGAGAGAAAGAGAGAAACGGAGGATGGTCGAGGATCCTCGTACGCGTAAACGACTAAACGACGAACATTGGACGGTGCGGCGTAGCACGCGAAGATTTCACCAGTAGTGCCCTTTGAAATGGCGAGGGTCGGAACGGACATTATCCAACTCGCCGATCTTAATTTCTTCTTACGACCATCGCGTCAAGGCTTCCACCAACGGTTCTACGTATATATTTATTTTCCAATTTTGCACGACACGCGATTCAAACTCGCCTTTTTACCTCTCTATAAACACGCGAAAATAACCGTACATCGAGGATAATACTTCGTACCGTACTTTTTATTTTTATCGATCTTGCGATTTATCCTTTTCAACGAAAAAGTTTCCAACGACGAATTAAATAATTTCCATCCGATTCGTCGATGCTATCCGTAAAAGTAAAGAGTATTTTAAACAACTATTTTTAACAACTGATCCACGAGAATGTTATTGCGCGCGCGATGAAAAAGTGCAAATGCAAAATCAAAAAAGTCCATAACTTCGTGCCGCGATTCGTAACGCGTTCTTTCCGTCTTATCTAATCGAGCTAATCTTTAATTATTACGCGTTTATATTTTTCCACCGATAAATTTTTCCGATGAAAAATCTGCTCGTAAATGAATAACGATAATTACGAAATTCTCGAACGGATTGCTTTTAAAACCGCGATCACGCACGATCTTCTTCTCTTCTTTTTTTCAAAGAGAATACAAACGAGAGCGAAACAACGGCGACCCTGTCCCTCCTGTCGATTTCAGTATCCATGACCCGATTACTTCACGCGTATCGATGTTACCTACCTCTAGCTTTTCGACGAGCAACGAATCGTTGATCGCTGATCGTTTTATCGTACTCCCTTCCTCCTTTCGATTTTCGTTCCCAGATAGAGGTACATATACGTACTTACGCTTCTCGGAGATGATTTTTCTCGAAACTATCTTTCGTCCATCTACCTTTTTCCCCCTCTTCGATTCGTCGATCGCTGCTACTCTACGGATACCAAAATCTTTGTCGAAATCTTTGCTAACCCAGACGCAGGAATATCGTGATATGATTTATATATACTTGAGTTTATTTTAACCGGATTATTATTCGATGTAATAGAATTCTCTGTAATAGAATCGAGTGAACGTTGATCACATTAATTACAATTAAGCGAATCTCACTCGAAATAATAATTATATATAATTATTATTATTATTTTTTCTCAAGAAAAAGCGTAGTATTTTATTCGACTCGTTCGAACATAGTCTCGTCCGATTGGTGAACGTAATAATTTCCATCGATGAGTTTGCTTATTATTTTCCCGCCAAGAGATGGTAGAACGGTGACAGCTCGTAATAACGCATGCGATACGCGTGTAGAGAAAAGAAGGGAAAGGAAGAAAGAAGGAAGAAAAAAATATATATATATATATTATATATACTTACTTACTTACTTACTTACTTACTTACTTACGTATAACGACGCGTCGGTTTGGCGGTGGATGGATGCGGTGGAGGTTGGAATAGCGAGAATGGTGGGGGATGGGCGAAAGGTGGGGGAGAGAGCGGAGGCGGCTCGTTCACCACGCAGGATCAGCTACGAGGAGAAGCTCGCTTCGTCTCTTTTACCTCGCGCTAGATAGTAGCTCCGCCGCCGCCGCATTTCTACCTTCTACCACGACCGAACGCACGCGTTCGATAGAGTCGCGTTCAAGATTCCTTTATCAATCGTGTTTGTGCGTCTCTGTTTCCTACCTACTACGTACTTTCTCTCTCTCTCTCTATCTCTCACTCTATCTCTCAACCCCTCTACCCGTCTCTCGCTCTGCTCCATTCATTATTTTCTCACCCCTTTCGCTCTCCCTCCCCTCTTCCCTCCCTCTCCGATTAGTCTCTATTTTTTCTCTCTTCCCTCATTTCTCCCCTTCTCTTTCTCTCTCTCTCTCTCTCTCTCTCTCTTTCTCTCCCTCTCTCTCATTCTCTTACCTATACGCATAATCGGGAACGCGTTCGTTGTTGTATATTAGAGAAGTTGTACGGTAGAGGTGAATCTTAAAAAGAAAAAAAAAAAAAAGAAAGAAAGAAAAAGAAAAAAGAAAAAAGAACGAGGAAAATGATTGAAACAGGGAAGCGGAAGCGAGTGTGCATCCTCGAGAATGATCGTGGTCGTGGTCGTGATCCGGGGAATCGAGTACGCACGCTCGTTGACGGGGACAGAGAGAGAAACGAGGCGCGTCAGGACGTTCGAGGGACGATTATCGTTGGAGAGTTATCGTGCTCGTCGTCGTTGTCGTCGTCCGTGTTTCTTTTACGACGGACGAACGCTAAACCGACGGACAGGACGGGAGAAAAGGGGTGAAAGAGGGGGGGGCGCGGTGCAACGCACCATTTCGAACGTTAACACCTACTTGATAGTCGAGATCTTTCCTTCCGCGAGACGATTCCCGTGATCGTTCTCGAGACGGGGAGGGGGAAGGGAAGGGAAGAAAAGATGGAAAAAGGAAGATAGAGGGGGAGGGGAGGGAGAGAGAGAGAGAGAGAGAGAGAGAATGATATAAGGGTATCGCGGTGCACGGAAATATCTCTGCGGCGAAAATTTTCGAAACAATCGAATTATTCTTACTTTCTCCTCCTCTTTCCTTTTCTTCTCTCCTGTGATACGCGAATCGGCGGAGGCACTCGAAGAATCGAAAATCGTATCTCTCCTCTTTTTATCCCTATTTATCATCGACGTGGTCGTAGACGCGTATCGTCGGAATCATCGAAATAATGACGATAATCGCGTGTTTGGTTGATCGTTCGCAGGATGCGTGGGTGTTTCGCGTTACCTCGATAAATTATGCGTGTACATAGAGGATAGCGAGAGGGGGATAGGCGAGAAGAGTGGAGATCGTGTGTCGTGGTGGAGACTACAATTCGGCCGTGTGTGTGTGTGTGTTGTGAAGAAAAAGAAGAAAGGTGGGTGTTTGTTTCTGAAAAAAAAAAAAAAAAAGAAAAAAAAATCTATCCTTATCCTTCCTCCCATTCCTTTCGATATTCCAGTGCTCTTTCTATCATTTTATCGTCGTGTTATCACGTCTCCACTCGAGGTCCATAAACCGATTCAAGTCTGGGAAGAAGCCTGGAATTCCTACTGCAAAAAACTGCAAGCAAGCGTCCTAAAACATTCCACGTAGATCGTAGCCGGTAAGATGATTCTTTCACGCGTCAAATTCCTCCACCGAACCGAAATAGATCGTCCAGAGTTTATGTCTCTTATCTTTATGCTTAACCGCATCGTTTTTACGAATCCTTTTGTTTCACAATTTATATATATATATATAGATCAAATTCGTGAAAAATATTATCACTGCCACGATTGCCGGCTATTCCTTCGGACGATGGTCGATAAAATTTTCATTTAATCGGTTGATACGAGAATTTCAAGTGATAGTTTCATTCTATATAAACCAGAAATAAATTTCTATGCTATGAATTTTTTTATCCTCGCTCGTACGTATCTCGAATGGTAGTCGGTTCGTACATTCTCTCCGCGAAACGTATAATTTTCCAACGATCTTTTTCTATACCATGTAAATTGTTTCGCGTAATTAATACATTTTCGTTTATAAGAAACGAGCTATACGTATTCGCCTTTACAGTTGTCGCTAGGTCGATATCGCTTCGATTTCTTCGGAGGAAATCGCGATCTTTCAATTTCTCGTTATATGGGCTACGTTTTACTTTCGATCTACGAGAATCGAATTTGAACGCAACGAGGAAAAGAAAAAAACTTTCATTTCCTTCTTCTTCTTCTTCTTCTCGATGAAATAATTATAGTTCGCGTAGTTTTATCGTTCGATCTCCGGTAAATTCGCGCAATTTTTATCCTTGACATTCCACTCGTTTATTCCTTCCAAGCTATGAACTTTCGATACAGATCGCTATTTCGTCGCAATTCGATCTTGAATAATTCATCGCGGTGGTGAAGGCAGAAACCGAATATCTCTGAAATTACTACTATCGTTGAAGGATACTTGAAAAAAATACGTGACGTATATTCGAACGAATGAATTTTACATCATTTCGTATACTTTTTTTTTCTTACGAAAATTTATCATATAAATCGATATCTTAACTGGAACCAGTAAAACAAATACGAGGAGGAATAAAGAAAATATACCTAGAAATAAATTCTTCTTTTACACACACATACATTCTCTCTCTCTCTGTCTCTGTTCGACCGATTATCGAAATATTTGTCTTTTTTTTCTTTCGGAAGAATAACCCTTCGACAAATCGATAATGGAACGTTTTTCAATCTTGAGTTATCGGTTAAAGGTTGCACGCGTGAGAACACCAATTCGTAAACGATATTGAGGATCGCTCGACTCGATGAAAAGCAAATAAATCTTTAATCGAGAATATTGCTGCTCATTTCCACGCACCCTTTCTCGCCATTCGCCAATCTTTTCGATGATTAACGATAAAATGATCTCTCCTTATGAATCGAATCGAGATCTAGATCCGCTCTACGCTTTGTTTGCAAAGCGGTTGCGAGAAAAGTAGTATCTAAGCCTAACCGTATCGAAATTTCGTAGCGTTTCGTGAAAATATATATATATATTTTTTTTTATAAGATATTCCGCGTAATGTAATGTAATCGTGGCATGACGATACGTAGATAAAGAGAGAGAAAGAAAATGACCGATTACGCAACACGTATCTTCCAGACTAGAAACGGCACGAATAGTTTTACTCCTTGTTCGTCCGATGTTACGTGTATAAATGCCATCTTTTCTCGTAGCTCGCGTTCCAAATCACCTTTAACGTTTCGATGTCGGTCGCCGTGTACCGTCGTTAACCTTGAACGACACTTGAACGCGTTGCTCTTCCATTTCGAGTCGAAGTGTTTACATCGAGTCGAATACAAAGACGACGTGTGAGAACGGGCGGGGAAAGGGGGGGAATAATAGAAAAAAATGATGGGCAGCACGTGGCAGCGACGCGTACAAATAATTCGATCCTTCGATATTTACGTTTACCGTCGATAACATAGCATAGAAATGTATATTTTTGCTGTGGCGAAAAATCTTTTTATATTATCCGAATACGATGTACGAGTTCTAAAGTTAGACGATGTTTTCGAAGGCGAACCTTGTAAAGTTGCTTTCTCAAAAATAGGTCGAATATAAGGGAGGATAATAGTACGGCCACGGTTACTCGTCGTGAAAAGAGCGCAGCGTCGTGTACGGATCGACCACGATTCCTCCTTTTCCAACCGTTTTATACGAAAATTTATTACGTATTATCATCGAATTATTCGATCTAAAAACGATTTACTTTGAAATTATTACTTCCTCTATGTGCCTTACTTGCGGCATAACGATCGAAAAATCAAAATTATACTTTACATTTGCTCTTACATATATACATTAATAATTATTTATTTTATAGTTATTTTAGTATAGTTATTTTTCTACACGAGAGACGTCCAATATCGGTTTAACCCGAAATTCTTGTACGAGTCTATTTTTTTTTTTATTTTTTTATCCCATCGACTCGAATATCGACAAAAAGAGATATAGATATAGATATATTTATAGATATATTTTTAAAGATCGTCGTATATCGCCGTCGTATATATACTTTTGTTTAATTGTTCTTCGTCACGACGAAGATACGATTGGCACGTACATACTTGGACGAACAATGTTTAATTTATATATATATGTATATTGTAATTATATCATAGGATACGACGGTTTCATCATCGATTCGACCATGTTTATTCGAAGAACGGACGATAGAACGATACGTAGCGTACATATTTAATAAACGAGCCTTGACATCGCGTCATATACGTGCATAGGGTAACGGTCTATAGAAAGTAGAAAGCCGTTACGCAAAGTATCAACAGGTGTATTATTACCTGTACTCGATTGATCTTTAAACCCTATTTTTTAATTGCTAAATACTTATTCCATTATTAATCTCGAACGAATCGAAATCCGCTTAACGCGTTCTCTCTTACACACCGTATAACAGTCGTTCAACTTTTTGCTATTTCACGATTCTCACCTTCGAACGGTTCGATTGTTGCTTTTCGAAAAAAAAACGATTCGAACGAAACGAACATGAAGAATTTACCATTCATAAATCGTTACGCGTGTGCATCATGAATCGATTACCAATTGTAAGAGAAAATTTTTCGCTTTGCTTTTAATCCGGATGATTATATCGTACTTTCGTTCGATAGATATACGAACGAAATCCAGATATATACACTTTTATTCCGAAATAACCGCGAACCACTCACAATTGCAACGCGTTTCAACGGCTGTAGGCCAGATAGGTAATAATGTCATTTGGTTTGCAAAACTTGTTCTCGAAAATCATAAAATAATCGAATCTTGATCGAGAACGATTTTTATTTTTCGAAAAAGAAACGGAACGACGCGTATATTTGATATTTCTTAATTAAATTCGTACGAATGAAAAAAATTTATCTCGATTCAGACCGTTGTATTGTCGCGTATATATTTCCGCATTTATGGCGTTTAATTTTAATCGATGCACGTGACGAAAAATCGCAGACGCTCATCAGAATTATGAAAAAGATTCGAAAGCGAGATTCGTACCACGCAGAATCCTTCGAAGGTAATCGCGATGTAACCTAAATATTTAATATACGTTACTTTTTCAAAAGATAAAACTTTTGAAAAACTTTCTTCGTCACTCGTCGTACTCGTCGTCGACTACTTCGTCGTCTACCAGCGGACAAAATTTATTCAAAATCGAAACAGCGGAATATTTCGAGTATAATTTACCGTTTGAAATTCTTTTCGATCGTCGTTACCGAGCGAGCGGGAAAAAAAAATTCCATCCAAACATTTTCGAAACGCGTAACTTTGAGTTTTTCGCGCGATAAATAAAGTTGGACACGTCCTATTTTTCCATCTATGTATCTGTGTATCGATCTCGTCGCAACGTATCGATGGCAGACTAACGAGTTTATTTTTAACGCAGTCGAAGAACAAGTTGGCGAGTGACCGTACCGATAAATTACGCCTCTGATTCCGATCGCTCTTAATTGGTCGAAACGAATCGGTTTTGCGGTCGGTCGATCGGTCGATCGATCGACCGATCTCGTCAACGATAAAACGATTCAACTTCGATTACGTCCTCCTCGCTTTTCCGATCGAATCGCGCTATCTCTTTTGCTTCTTCTCTTCCTCGTCTCTTTCTCTCTCTCTCTTTTTTACAGGTCGTTTAGCATTTAGAAAATGGCAAATTTTTCCATCCCGAAGAACGAACAATGACAAAGCGAGTACGCTGCTTCTCTTTTCAAATCTGTCTCTCATCCGTTCTTTCCTCATTGTATCGGCAAACTTTTCGAATCGCGGACGACAAAGTTCGTTCGATCGATTTAAAGAATTTTCTAGAATTTATATACGAACGGAAAAATATATCTTTAAAAATTTGAATTATGCGTCGACGTTTTTTTTTTTTTTTTCGAAAGTCGAAATAAAAATTACACTTTTTCTCGCATACGACAGTTTCTGGCTCTAATTCCTCGACTACACTACTAATAGAATTATCAGGCTACTAATGCGCCTGAAAAATAAAAATAACGCGAAACTCTTCGTTTCTCTGTTTCGATATTCACGGAAAGATGAAAATTTGCAGCGTGCAACGTCCGATTCGAGCATTGAAACGATATTATTCCGTCAAAAATACGGAATAACGGAATAATCATCGTGCAAGTTTTAATCGAATAATCTACACTTTTTTATTAAACCGTGTTAAATTTTTAATCGTACGCACGTAATTCCTCGCGTAATCCTATCACGTGGCAAAAGTGACACAACCTCGAGTCACTGCGCGGTATGTCGAAAGGGTCGAAAGTCGAGAGTCGATTAAGTTCGTCCATCGAGAGAGTCGGGGAAAGCGGAAGGAGGGTAGAGCGGAGGTAGAATTTACGAAAAGAGCGTTTTCGAATACCGTTCGTTTCGACCGACGTACGTTATTTCCGTTATTAAACGCAATTTACTTTTTCCAATTATTCTTCGTTCCCCATTTTCTATTCCCTCTATTTTTAGAACGCGGCGAGAACGATATCTTTATATGAGATGAGAGAGAGAGAGAGAGAGAGAGAGAGAGAGAGAGAGAGAGAGAGAGAGAGAGAGCCGAAGGAAGTTGGCGAAATGAGAATTCTTGGAATTTATTCGGATTAACACGGTCGGTGAGTTTTCGCGATTGAAAACGCGACTGAGAGGCGTCGCGTCGGAAGCGAAGCGAGAAACGATAGAAAAACAAAAGAATCTCTTCAGAATTTGACGAGAAACCGATTCGTTCATTTTCTTCCTCCTCGACTGTGACGCTGGGAAAACTGTGTCACTTTCTCTGCATGCTTCCACGCGACGATATCCGATATACGTGGACGAGTTACGTAGGAACAATACGCTTGGTGTTATAAGCTCAATAATACAGCGTTAAATGTGAATGTAATTGTCGATACGCGACGTTCCGAACGGTGACACGCTCATTGTTGACAACGCCGTGATCCTTTCCCACCGCAGATCGACCAACGGTGATACGATGATACGTATTAAACTAAACTCGAACAATGCTTCTTTGTCGTCTTTCAACAACAAACTCCATTTAAACTCGATTTACACGCTTTTCTGTACGATGGACCCGATGGATCGAAATCCACTCCACTGTTCTTTTATATTTTCTTTCCGTTTTTTTTTTCTTCACGAAAAGAATCTGTTCAAGTGGTTCGATAATGGGAATGGACAGAATCGAGTGTAAAATTCGTATATTCTTAAATTGTCTTAAATTTTCGAAAATATCACGATGTGAAAGTATATCGTATCTCGAGTTTGATACTCGTATTTTATGCGGTATTTTATACGACGAAAAATTGATGAACGCGATATACGCGTATATAGCGATGGTGGATATGCGAGATACGTGGTTGGTTAATCTCTCGGGGAGTAGGGCTTTAATCCGGTAAATAGCCGAGGAAACAGGCACGATTCCGTTGACACGGATCGGTACGTCTGTCCGTTTGTCTATCCGTCGTCTTTAGGACCGAGTCCCTCTCTCTCTCTCTCTCTCTCGATGTGCACTCTCCCGTGTTAATTATGTCCTACATTTACTTTGCGTTTCGACGAGGTCTCGTCGTTGATCATCGTCGCTACACCAACCGCTCGGTGACTTTTCCTCTATGATATACGCCTCGCCGCGATACGCGTTACCATCCTATTGAATCTTGCTTACCAGATATATCTCTACTTACGTACATCCGTGTATACCATAGATTTGTACAATTATCCAGATCGATCCAGTTCCATGTCTCGTATAAATAACGGACGTGAATATTTTTGATATTTTCAATCGCGACACACGTGTCATTGCCTTTACCAAGGATCGCCATCGTTACCAAGGATTCTTATTCGTCACCACGAGTGTTATTTCACCTCGAGTATTCCGTTGAAACGATCGTGTAATAACTCCGCATAAGATCGAAAGAGAAGAAGGAGAAAGAAAACGCGGATAATACATCGTGTCCCAACCGTTCGATTTTAATATCGTTTTTCAGAATAATGGGGCTAATCGTTAAACGAGTCACGAACTCCGTCTCCCCCGACTTCCTCCTTCCTTCGAACGTGGAAAACGAACGCCGCGCCTCCTTTCTCCAAACTTTTTATTCGAATCGTGTATCGGTCACTCGTTACCGCGTTACTTTACGTCTCTCTCTCTCTCTTCCCCCCTCCATCGCACGTTCGCGCGTGCCCGCGCACTTTACGACTTTCCTTCTTCCATCTTTTCCCTTCGACGGTTAGAGTTCGAGAGTTCGTTCGAGCTTCGTTTCGCGATTCGTCGTTTTTCTCGCACGCGAAAAATTTTTTGAAATTGAAAACGAAGTTTAACACGACTGCGTTATAGAAAAAAAAAAAAAAAAAAAATAAAAGAAAAGAAAAGAAAAGAAAAATGGGACAATTAGAAAAATGAGACTGTCGAGTGGGACGGATAAGAATCCGACCCCTCGAGCGCAAAGAGTTAACACGTTCGCAGAAAATGTCATGTACATTCTCATCCACTTAGCGTAAATAATGTATATTATAACCTACGTATCGCGCGTATCTTCTTATCGCGATCGTTCTCTCTTTTATCGCTCCCTCTCTTTTTTTTTTTTCTACTCCACTCTATTTTTTTCCCAACTCTCTTTTCCGACTCTCTTCCATTATATCTTGCATCGCTGCGTTATTATTATTATTTAATTATCGATACCGTACGATAATTATACGGAACAACGGGTTATTCTTTCTGTTATAGATCGCAAAATGGGTTGTTTCGGCAGCAAAGATAAGTTGAGCAAAGAAGATATGGATTTTCTTAAATCGCACACAAGATACGACGAAGCAACTATAAAAGAATGGTACAAAGGATTTAAAGTAAGTTATTATTCGAAAATTTATTTATTTTTGTTTGCTAATATTTTTTTTTTTTTTTTTATCATTATTTCTCGAAGTAAGGAAAGTAGATCGTTGCTCGTAACGAACCAGGATAATATAATCTCGCGCTAGAGAAGGAATATTTAAAACGTTCGTAAACGTACGATTAATTATTAGCACGTCAATCTCTTCGATGTTTTTCGATTCCGTCTCGGAAGTTGAGGAGAAATTTCTCTAATTCTTACATGATATTTCATAACGATAAATAATAAATTGTTGACGAAAAGAGGAGATTTTTTGAAATATCGCGTTCTTTGTGTTATAGCAAGATTGTCCGAACGGTAGACTAACGCCGGCAAAATTTGTCGACATGTATAAAATGTTCTTCCCATCTGGCAACGCGGAAGAATTTTGCGATCACGTTTTCCGTACATTCGACATGGACAAAAATGGCTACATCGATTTCAAGGTAAGATTCTTCGAATCCATTTTTCTATATATCGTACCATTACCATTAGCCATTAACCGAATGGACGACACGTACGACACAGTGTACATATATATATATACATATATATATATATATATTCGTGTATCTTTTGTCAACGATAATACACGTAAACGCGCGTATAAAGAATAGTAGAATAGAATAGAAATTTGAACGTTTGAATTGAAGCCTTCGCTTTAAATCGAATTTCGAAACGAGGGCACAAATTACAATCTGTCATTCTGATCGAGAGAAAAAAAAAGAAGAAACGAATAAATTTGAAACGTAGCGTAAATTATATTGTTTTTATCTATAATTTAAACGAGACTATTTGACACTAATGATACGTATCGGATTCGGATAGTTATTGTTCTTGTGGGTCGTTCTCGTCCCTTCTCTTGATACGAAAAAAGAAAAACGAAGAAAAGGAAGAAACATGTACATAAACATGGTAAGTACAATACGTAGAAAGACGATAGGAGGAAAAAGGTAGGGCAGTGATATAGAAATCTAGCCGATGGCAGAAATTGGCTAGAGGGGCTAGCACGTCGATGGGGTCAATACGAGAAGTGGAGACACTTCGGAGGTCATGAAGAGCAAAGAGCCGACTCGCCCTCGACTTCGTTCTTTAAAACCCTTGCCGTTTGTCTACCTCAGGCGTAGGGTGACCTAGTTCAACCTCTTGCCGTATCTACATCAACGCGAATACTCTGAATTCTTTAACTCGAACGTCGAAACACGTCGAGACGTTAATAATATCCAAATCGATCGTATCGAAAATTGATAACGATTTTCCAACAACGTAAATAAATAACGTAAATAAACTTCAAATCGTTGAAGAAACGTAAACGCGATTTCGAGTCCGATCGATCTTTTTTTTCTTTTTTTTCTTCTTCTTCTTTTTTTTAATTGCAACACTGAGAAGCAAGAGCGTTCAATTTTGTTCGTTACAGGAATTTTTGTTGGCTATCGATGTAACGTCTAGCGGGACGCCAGAAGAAAAACTGAAATGGGCTTTCCGTATGTACGATGTCGATGGAAATGGTGTCATTGACATTCAAGAAATGACCAAGATCGTTCAGGTATTATATGCGTATTTCGTAATTAACACACATACACACTTTTTCTCTCATACAAAAATATTCTCCTTTTCACATTACTTACCTTCTTTCATTAAACGATGATTTGGATAAAAATTGTTTTAAAAAAATCATCGATTTCATCCCTCCTCTTCTCCCTCGTCTCATTTCTTTTAACGACTGTTCTTTCTTAAAACGAAAGGGAGGAGTGATAACGACCGAATCGAAGACTTTTTTAAACGTACGAATATATAGATTCGAAAATTCTTGCTAATTAAAAATAAATATAATAGAACGGAGATTAACATATATACATCTGGTAGTAGTAAATTAACGTTCGTGATAAACGATTTTGGATGCAGAAATAAACGACGAGAGCGAAGTTTATGATTTCTTCGACAATTCGAAAATCATGGTCATTTTTCACGAAAATCAACGATTTTCTTTAAAATGTTTCGAAAAAAGCAGCTCTCTAAACGATCGAATTAACAATTGATCAAACGATCAATTAACAATTAACGAATTATCCACACGCATGTAGACGTCTAGACGATTCCCCAAGGATGTGTCGATCGATCGTTACGTAAGATACGTTCCAAGCATAAAAGTTGGAGGAATAATCGCTTGCAAACGGTACAAATTGAAAGTGAATATTAAGAAATTTCGTTCACAAATTGAGAATAGATTGGGAGAAATTAATAATCGGGATGGATGGAAACGCGGCCATTGGCGAAACGTTCGAAATGTGTGAGTTAAAAACGACTGAATAGCGAAAAAAGGAAGAAAAGATTTTACGAAAATATTCAAAGCGTTCGTTAAACAAAAAGCATTTATATTGTTATATAAAATATAAAAACTACATTCCAATGATTCTTTTGATACGGATTGAAAGAAAAGAAAAGGTTCCTAGCAAGAAGCGAGAAGTTATTGCACAGAATTAAACGTAAATATTTCTTTAGATATATATTACGAAGAAAGTGGATCGATGAAACGAAAGTAGATGATACGAATTTTGACAAAAGAAAATACGAGAAAGATTCGAGGATGATTTTCGTCGTGCGAAAGATAAGGGATAAAGAAATACATCTGAAAAAGATAGGAAAATCCACGTTGCTTCGGGATTCCAACGAAAGATCGTTGGAAAGGTTAGAATGACTTGGAAAAAGAAGGTTTGATCCACTTTGCTACAATTAACCTTCGATATAACTTGATCGATCCAGAAACAGGAGCAAATACTCGATTGAATGGAAAGTAAGCGGAGAGCACTCGGAATGCGATTACAACGCGATGACGGAATCCGAAAAGGAAAATGGATGGAAGAAACGAAGGAAGGATTCGTTTCGCTCGACTTCTCTTCCATGTATCTCTCGAATATTGTATTCGAATTTTAATACTTTTTCGAGTCAACAAATCCAACTTTTGTATTTTATCTCTGAAAGCTTTAATTTCCATCTTCGTTTTCAACTATTTTTTATTTTAAAAATTCATTTCATTTCCGTGAAAAATGGCCACGATTTTTTTCGAGCTTTATAAAATCGCCAAAGTTCGAACGAAAAATTTCGCTTTACCGTCTGTGCAACCACGACAAATAACGAATTAACAATTTTTTCATTCTCGTATATATATTTTCATTCTTCTTTTTTTTCGAAATCTTTACACGAAATTTTTACTTACCGTGAAATAACAGATTCGAAATTAATCGAGTTTTATCTGAAAAATTTTCTCTCTCTCTCTCTCTCTCTCTCTTTTAATAATTAATATTTTAAATTAAAATTCTGTGAATACTTACAGTTGCGTAACTTCTAACGCGTAATATTAAAAAATATACAAATAGATATTAAATTAATATAATAGCGAATATAAAATTTCTATGGAAAAATAAAAAGAGCATATGGAATGAAATTATCAATTATTAATCGAGTCAAGAAGAAAATGGAAATGTTGATCTATAAAACGCGAAATGATAACGATGCAAGAATTTCTCGATTATTTTATCTTTTCTCGAATCGGCAATTTCACCAAGATACGATACAATAGGTTATGAAATAAAAAAAAAAAAAAAAAGGAAAAGAATTCGTTTCTGAACTCATTTTTTATTTATCGTCGCGAAAGATTGCCCATCGACCCAAATAAATCGTGAAAAGTTTTAACCCGCGTAGATATACGCGAATATCTATCGTCGACTCGAAAATAGAATTGGTTCGTCTCGTCTAATGCATATTCGATTTTTTTCGAACGGAAATTAGATGGACGGTCGAGAGCGGGGAAAGTCGTAAAATCGATCGACGGACGAGAGGGAATAACGAAGGAATAAAAAGAGGATGATCGACCGTTACGTTAGAAACATCTTATTAAATATACGATGTTTTCTGTTTGTAGGCAATATACGACATGCTCGGTGCATGCTCGAGCAACAGACCGGCAGATAGCGCGGAAGAAAGAGCGAAGAACATCTTCGCGAGAATGGACGAAAATAATGACGGTCAACTTACCGAGGAGGAATTTTTGAAAGGTTGCCTTCAAGACGAGGAACTTTCAAAAATGCTGGCCCCTTAATTTCCGTGTCTTACCTCGGATCCGATGATGACACACCAACCGAACCGAATCGAAACGAATTTCAATTGCATCTATCCTTCCGTACCGATCGTTCTATATTATATTCCATATAATATCATTATCGAACACGATAATCGGTGCGATTGCCAACAAAAAAATCGAAGGAAAATCGGTGTCTTTCTCACGGTCTAACTTCAATTTCGACTCGAATCGATAAATTTCCTCCCCTCCCTTCCCAACGACAATCCATCCGAATTTCAATTCACCGATACGAACGAACGAACGAGCGTTCGCGTTCACTCGGGAAAATTATTATAAATCGATATTAAACGGCGAGAAAAAAAGAAAAGAAAAGAAAAGAAAAGAAAAGAAATAATTGGACGAAGAAGACAAGTATATTTCGTTTTGTCAACAAGAATCGTAGAATCGTAGAATTTCGCGATATTCTTGTCGGATCGAGATCGCATCGAGTTTGAAGTTTGACCGATGCTTCCACAGCAAGTACCTAAAAATTGACGTTTAAGGTAAAACGTTAATTATTAGATTTAATAATAATTTGACAGGTTTCTCTCTCTCTCTCTCTCTCTCTCTCTCTCTCTCTCTCTCTCTCTCTCTCTCTCTCTCTCTCTCTCTCTCTCTCTCTCTCTTTCCAAAGTTTCGAGATCGAAACAAGTCGGACAGTTTTTTTAAATTCGAACAACGACGAAAAAAGTGCTAGGACGTTTGGCGAGAGTGATGGTAACACAACGAATCGCGAGAGAGTACTGTCGAGTAGATAGGACAAAGATTTTCGATCGAGGAATGCAGTTTTATATTGCACGAGATATACTTCGAACGATACGTTTTACATTGAAGAAAAAAAAAAAAAAAAAAAAGAAAAAAAAAAGGTACGTCATATTAACGTATTAGTTAATCGATTCAATTATCGTTCTCATTCGGAAACTATCCGTTCCCATTCATTCCCGATACACGATAACGATGTATCACACATAAGATGGAAGATAATATTCTCACGAGTGATTCTCACGAGTTACAAAACGAGTTGAATATAATGGAACGAAGAAATTCGCGTTCGTAGCTTCGCTTTTTACTTACATGTATAGCCGTTCGATAGACGGACCAAAAGTGCCTAAAGTTCGGCATTTCGACAAACGTACGATGAACGTGAGGCAGGTCGATATACACGGACGGATTCGTATTTAAATAGCAATGACCTAATAATCGTTGTCCGAACGATCGAAAAAAAACAAATTCCACGTTCATTGGTATAAAAAAATTCGTACGTATCGAAAAAAAATACGATGCGTCTTTTTTTTTCTTTCTTTCTTTACGTTTTACTCGTCGCGAAAAATTCAATCGCGTCCCCCCCGAAAGCGCGCGTATCAGACCAGCATAGACCTGCACACCGAACTCGTTCAAACGAGAGATAAATATCGTCCTACGTATAAGGAAATTTCAAATTTACGTCTACAAGTTAATTTTACACCGATCGTTTCTTTCATTTTCCAACTTTCTATCTACCGGTGTAAATATTATTGTACTATCGTCTCTCTATGAACCGAGCTTAAAACGAATATTTTACGCGCGCGCGAATCGTATCATTCGCATTGTTAATCACGAAACATCAAACGCTTTGATCGCTTTCATAGAATTTTTCAACTTTCGTAATTAATTATTCGTACGATAACAAAGCTTTTATCGACGTATCTTGCAAAAGTAAAATCACCTTTTTTTTCCCTTTCATCCAACAATTCTGCCGAATATTTTGTATTTCGAGGAATTTCGTCCTTTGTATCCTGTTATAACCAGCCTAAATATCGTATGCATTTAATATATATATATATTTTTTTTAATTTTTCTGAAACTTTATGAAATTCTAATATGCTATTCGCAATTTTCATTTATAATTTCCCATATTATATTATATGTATATAGTGCGGTGAATGTGTATGTGACGTGTAACACTCATATACATCACCAGCGTACGAGTAAGGATAAACATCACCTAAAACTGAAACTCGAAACTTTTTCCGTTGTTTTTAGCGATAAAAAAAGAAGAAAGTATATCGATCCATTCGAACACGATTTGAAACGAATTAAAATTATACGTAATATTTACATGGTGAAAATCATTGTAAATATCCAAAATCGTATCGTAAAATTAAAATTATTATCCGAAGAAAAATATATATTGGAAGCTTGTTCGAACAAATGTAAAGGAAGGATCGATCTCAAGAAATCGAACGATATTCCCGATTATTCTACCTACGATATAACACTTACGTATTTCTACAATTCCTAAATATTCCTATCCTTTTTTCTCTCCTTAAAAAGAAAAAAAAATTGCGATTTAAAATGTCAAGAAGTGGAGAAAAAATTCGTAAAAATGCTTGGAAGAAGCAATATTTATTTACCTTTGTAAAATGGATTATTTCAATCGATTTTCTCTTCAAAGAAATGTTGGGTTCTAGCCTTGGGTGATCCACAATGCACACATACTTAATTATCTGTAGTTAGCGGTATGTAACGATTCGCGGTATACGTACAACTGAGAAGATAAACGGTCGTACGAAGAATTGACTTGGAATGTCCTTTTATCTGTCTGGCTCGAATATCAACAGTACGCATCGATACGATAATTATAGAAAATTTAACGGTTCAAACGTGTGAAAATACAATCAAATACTCGACTTTTTGGTGTCGTTTCACCATACATTGATCCCTAACTCCACAACGACACTTATTTATATATATTAATTCATATATATATATATATATATATGAATTTCACGCAACAATTAAGCTAGCAATGTATATGCGTGCAATATAATATATATCTACTACGAAGAATATTTAGCGTTATCGCGTAATATGCATCAAACATCACGCTCCTTAAATTAGGATAGTAACGATTGTATTTCAAATCCATAGTTTAACAAGGTATCGAATAAACGGAAAAAAAAAGAAAAAAGAAAAAAATGAAAAAACAGGACAACCGTGTTGTCCCGTTAAAACTCGTATTAATTATGATTTAAGCTCAGAGCGTATCTGTGTGTGTGTAGTGATATATTAATCCGAAGCTGGTGAAAAAGTGATGCGTAGAAAATTCTAGAATTTGTAATATCTCTCTCTCTCTCTCTCTCTCTCTCTCTCTCTCTCTCTCTCTCTTTTTCTCCCTCCCTCTCTCTCTCTCTCTCCGTAATAAGGAAACATAAAGGCAAGATAATCAATTTTAAAAATTTCTGATACAGGTAGCTGATCGACAAGCATGCGATTCACCGCTTTTTTCTCTCTTTTTAAGATCGTACGTATAATAATAAAAAAAAAAGAAAAATCGCACAAGACGATAATATATTGGGTCGATCGTTTAACGAATGTTTGAAAAACGTCGTTATTTCCAATGGAATGAAAAACGTATATATATATATATGTATATATATATATATATATACCGTCGATTTAAAACGGACGTTTTATTTGTTCTCGTTCTCTCTCTCTCTCTCTCTCTCTCTCTCTCTCTCTCTCTCTCTCTCTCTCTCTCTCTCTCTCTCTCTCTCTGTTGTTTTTTTCTCGATATCAGCAGCACGGTTAATAGGTTAATAGGTTGATATTAGTAAAAATTATATATATAAGGTGATTAAAAATTTCTCATCCGAATTTATAATGTTTACATACCCTAATCTTTTAATCTTTTCAACTCGATCACCGTAATAATTAGTATTTCAAATTTACATTTATTTAATCGTTCTCATTGATTATATTTATTTAATCGATTTAAGAGACTCGAATTCGCAAGATTAGATTTATATGATATTTACATATGTATAACGAGATAAACGTATTATTCGACGATCGCGATCGAAAGGATTAAAGTGTTTTTTTAGCTCCATTCATTTCGCTTTCTCTTTTTACGCGTCTATCTATCCATCTATCTCTCTATCCATTTATCTATCCATCTATCTATTTATCTATCTATCTATCTATCTATCTATCTATCTATCTATCTATTTTTCTAGTTTGATGATTTTCGATTTTTCGCTCAATATACATATATATATATATATATACTTACACGCATTGCGCGTTGATTCGAATAAATAAAATGACAAAGTAACAACGATAGAAAGAACAATAATAATATTTTATAACGAAACATATTTTCTGAGAATTACCGATATCTTTTATCGAATAAAAGATAAAACGAAGGAAAAAGAGAAAGTAATTGGAAGGAAAAGCATAACGATTTCGATCATCTTCTCCAAATAAATGCAATTTTTTATCGTTCTTCGTTTTATTCGATGTATTAGTTTCTATTCCTTCTTCTTTCACCCCTCTCCCGGGGGGAATTATTTATAAATTTTTTTAAAAAAATTTATAAATATGCACATGTTCTATAGAAAGGAAAAAATTCTATATATATATATACCGATATTTATTATCGATGAATATATTCTATAGAATGAATGTCGATACTTTTAGATCGATTTAGAACCGATTAATAATTTTGCCGATAAGATACTTGGAATTCTACGAATTTATATAAATCACGGGTAAGAAAATATCGTTTCATTATTAAGAATTGGCGAGAGGGAAATTTGGAAAGAGAATGTTAGTAAGTTAGTATCTGTGTACTAATGTGCAGTTCGTGCAATTAATGTAAACAAATATTGTTGTATCGCTCGCGTATATTTATGCGTATATAGTTATTTACATATATAATAGTAGGCTAAGTACATATCATTGCCTTTTCTCTAATTATTCAAAATCGACTCGTAGGCGCGAAGTTTTCTTCGTGTTTTTTCGTTGTGTACGTGCTTCCGCAATTTCGGCCAATTCGAACACGAATTTTGAGAACGCAATTTCTCGATTAATTTCTCGATTGATATACGATGATGGAAAAACGTGTGCGCGTTCTTTTCTCATTCGACCACATTCCCCCAAAAATCTCTTCTATATTTAATCGAAACGAAAAATTTATGTACGATATACATATATATTATTCACTTTAGGTAAGATATAAAAGAAAAAAAAAAAGGAAAATAATCTGTATATCTCGTTTATTACAACAATTCGAAATATCAATGGCCCCCTTTTTTCCATCTTTTCTTCGATCGTATCGTAACGATAAGCTGTATTCCATTTTGTTTCGTATAAATCGTAATTATTCGTTCCGATGATTCGTGATAAATCATCTGAAAAAAAAAAAAGAAAAAAAAAAGAAGGAAATAAGAAAGAAAAAGGATTTTCGTGCTACGATTAATTTACAGAAACGTACTCATGGTTCGGATATTTTTCTCTGTTCGTTCCAACAACAAATCGAAAGATAATACGAATGGAAACATCGCGATCCTCCTCAAATCGAAAGTGCAGCATTGACAATCGAAATATCAAGTTTCTTCTTCTATTATAAAAAAAGAGTCAATGAATATAGAGAGAACAATTTTATAAAGCTTAAGAACACAAACCCAAAAGTGCATTATATATTACAAATATTACATTGTTACGTCTCAGTTTCCAATTTCCAAAAAGTCTCGCAGCGTTGAAAAATTCGAAAGTCGATATTGTTATCCTCGTAAAAAAAAAAAAAAAAAATAATAAAAAATAAATAAATAAAAAGTAAAAAATAAAAAAAAGGAAAAAGAATAAGAACCATCCGAAATAATAATAATAATAATAATTCTTTTGTTTTTCGGATTAACAAGTATCTCGAGTCTTCTTTTCGTGTTCTTTTCGTGTGTTTGTACATATAAAAATACTAACGCTGTATATACACGTTGTGTCACGTGTATATACGAAAAATATATTTTTCATAGGTATTATTCAGAATCTTTGAATCTTGTCTTGATTGATCGAGATAAAAATTGAATTGAATCGAGAGAAAAAAAATTTCTTTAAATATATTTGAAACGATAAAATATTCGCTATTTTATTTTCAATAAATATTATATCGATATGTTGTAAATCGATGATGTAAAACAACGCATCGATCGATCCACTTTGATCACGAAATTAATATACCGTTAATAATCTTGCTAAACAAGTTCAAAGATAAAAGATTAATATGCGAGCGAAATATCGAATTATCTACGCTACTTTGAAAGTCTATTTTATATTTTTCTACGCCGTTCATTCTATCCTTCCTGCACGCCTTCATGCACTCATGCCTTCAACCTCTTCTTTAAATTAATCTCTCTCTCTCTCTCTCTCTCTATTTCTCTTTCTCTTTCTTTCTCTCTCTCCTTCCTTTTTATCGATCGATTTTCTCTATTTCGCCGAAACGATGCATCGCAAACTAGTAGTTAACAAATTTACAGGAAAACGATTGTTACAGCGAATAAAACAAATTCTTTTATTTTATCCTCCAGCGCTTAATCTCCTGAGCACTTTCGTATTTATCTCTTTTAATCTATTTATTCGTACTCTGTTCTATTTATATACCGTGTATAACGTATCATTCGTTGCTCTTCAAATTATCGTAAAATGTGTTGGATGAAATCATTAAGTCGAGAAAGGAACGTACAATTATGATTTGTAATTTTATTTTATTTTTTTTTTTTCTTTCCAAATTTTATTCCTCCCTATACGTCGCGATTAATTTTCTTCCATAATAGAATTTATATAGACGTAACAAATTTTTGGCAATATCTTTATACTTACATTTTTTACAAAACACTTTGGTACAATCCATGTTTAATCCCCTCCTCGTATATGGAGATGCAAAGATACGAATATGATTATAGAGACGATCTAATAAGGATATAATACGTGTAATAATAACGAAAGACTCGGTGAAAGACGAATTCGTTATATAATGTTCGTGTAATATTTATTAAAATTTCTTCTCTTCGAAGAAAAAATTCCTTTTCGAAATTGTATCGCGTGATATATATTTATCATTTTCTATCTTTAATTATATAACGAAATTAATATATTATTTAAAGCATAAAAATAATTTTTACGAAATTAAATTAAAAAACTTTTATTATTTTGAGAGAACAAAACAACTTGTTTGAAATTTTTATCAAGTTCCCGTAATAAATAAACCAATGATTTATTTTTATTCTTATGATATAATCGATAAAAAATACTTTTCTCCGCGATACGATGCTTTATAACGATTTATAACGAATATTATTTCACACTAATTTTTGATCGCTTTTATGCGCGATAAAATTGTCGTATCGTAAAATTTATTAGAATTTTTATTAATTAAATTGCAATACGAAAGGAAAGAATTATTATATTTCTATTTTCGGTATTTTCATCGGTCTTTAATTGTACCGAGTTGCACATAGTACTGTAATCTAGAAAATCAAATTGCTGATAATGATTTTTTTATAAAAAAAAAATATATATATATATATAAATTTTATCTTTAAATTATTATTATTTATATTATCCTAACTAATTAAGCAAAATGTCAATATTCGAAAGTATTTTATCTACGTACATATATCAAAAAAGTATAAATTAAATTTTGACATTACCATTGTAATTAATTTTACTGGTAATCTGATATTATTAAATAATTATCAGATTGCAATTTTTTTTATTCACAAAATACACGAAATCTGGAACACAATTTTTATTTTCTATTTCAAAAAATATTGTTCGTTTCTTTTTTTTTTTTTTTTTTTTTTTTTTTCTACGTTAAATTATTGTAAAAAATATCAGATTGCAAAAACTTATCGTTAAGCACGATATATTTTCAACAGACAGTACGACTGTTTAATAAATTGTAAATCGTTGTAATTATATATTGTGGATCCGTTTATCCTTAATATATGAACAATATATCAAATAAAATATACAATTTAAAGTAATTATAAAAATAAAGGAAAAAAAAAAAATAAATAAATAGATAAAAAGACGAGAAGAACAAAAGGAAAGAACAAAAGAAAGTTCGCTTAAATATGTGTAACATTAAACAATATTAAATAACACGTTAATTTCGCAATTTCATATATTGTATATTTCGTTCCAATCGCAATGATACATGTATCATTAACAACAATTAGAAAAACATTATTGTATTCTTCGATGATGAATATAAAAAGGATATGAAGATACAAAAGAAGACGATTAAAAAATAATTATATCTATTTTCGTATTTATTTATTTATTTTTGTAACGATTCGTAATGATCGTTTTTTTTTTTTTTTTTTTTTAAGTTATCGTATTATGTACGAAATATTATCAAAAGAAAGGGGAAAAAAAGAAAAGAAAAGAAAAGAAAAAAGAAAAAAAAATGTAAATGGAAATCATTTCATCAAAAATAAAATCTTATATTATAGTTTTGAAATTTGCGCAGTTTTCAAAAAGTATTATACAAATATTTATCAAAGACGTAATAAATGTATACGTACTTAATATGTATGTACTCGTGACGGAATATACTGCCGATTGATTATTGATTATCTCTGATTTTGAAAACAACACTTGGAAACACTCGTTTCGACATTTTAGCAAAAACTATTTAGCGCATAGGATCGATCTGTAGGACCATTAGTCTTGTATTTAAAAAAAAAAAATATATAGTGTTTATATACGTATATATACATATATACATGCATATGTATATATATGTATAGAAATCTGAGATTAATAGATCGATAATAAGATCGAGTATAATTTGTGTGAATATAGATAAATTGAAACGTGAAAAAAAAAAAAAAAAAAAAAAAAAAGAAAAAAAAATCTTTTTCTTATTCTTTCTCTACTTCTGATCTGGTGCTAATTAATGCTGATAGTACACCTTAATGCTACTTTTGTATCTACTTTCCCTTTTCATCTTCAACTTAAATATGATTAAGAAACGATATGTAAAAATCTATCTTATGTGTCGTATTATATAAATTATTAGTTTGTAAAACGATTAGTTTAATGTTGTTCTACAAATAAAATTGTTTAGAATAATAATTTTTCAAACTTCCCAGACTATTTAACCAACAATCAAAAACTTAATCTAATTAATCGTCGAGTTAAGAAGAAATTTATTTTCTTATAATAAGTAGTCTTGATATTAAAATATCTTTAAAAAAGATTAAACACATTCCAATCTATATATATACACATATATTTATTTGATTTATATAATTTAAGTAGTGACAATTTAAGTTGTAAAATTACACGCAAATAATTGTCTACATAATTGTCTAATATTTTCCATAATACTTTCTTCTTTTTCTTTAATTTTCGATAAAAAGCATGAAGATATTTAAAAAAAAAAAAAAAAAAAAGAAATGAACGAAAATATTACACGTGTAATAGTAGTAATAGCGCGTAATCGAAGGACAATCGATCATTCGTATCGATCGTTGAACGAATTTCATCGAAATCAATCGTTTCGATTCGAATTACCTTACGAATTTTTACAGCTCGTTATCTCGTTATCTCGTTATCTCGTGAATAAGAAAAATTTAAGATTAACTTTCTCAAGTAATCAGCACGAGTTATTTAAAAATTTTCTCATATTTTATTTCACTTTTTATTTCGCTTACTCTTCCTATCCCTTAACAATCATACGTGATTAAAAATATGGTATAGAACGTACAAAAGAAAATAAGATATGTGAAAAAAATATCAATCTGTCATAATAATTTAATTCAATTCCCTCGATATGTAACGATATTCGTCTTATATTACCGATAGAATATAATTTTAATAAACATGTTCGATTTTCGAAAACACATTGTAGCATACATTAGCATCTACATTATTCGTTATACAATGTCGTATTATTCGTTCATTTATCAATTTTTCAACATTATATATTAAGAAGAATAACGTATTCGAAATACGATTCAATGAATTGTAAATACATCATAAATTAAGTGTATGTATTAAAAATACGATTTAAACCGAATTTTTCTGTTATGTACGTACGTTTACATTATTCTTAATCATTCCATCCTTATTATTCGATTTACAATATCGCAAATTAGCGTTGTGATCTTAGTTGCGTTTAATTTAATTAAAAAAAAGTATGAAAAAAGAAAGAAAAAAAGAATATATCACTTTTCTATATGTATAATATTTATATGTAACATTTCTTAATGTATAACATTATTATGAATTTTTACATAAAATGAAGAAACGTTTAGTCGTAAGTCGTAGCGGATGTAATTAACGTCAATAATGATTAATTCCACGATTTGGAAGAAAAGTGGGACGAGACACGGAAAATTGATATTATTTTTCTAATAGTTTACAAAATTGTTGTTATTCGTCTTTTTTTTTTTTTTTCCTTTTCGTTGAATTAAAATCCTAAAATTCACCTAAAATAGTTGGAAATAATAATCGTATAATAATCGAGAGTTTTATAAACGAAATGTTATTCAAGATTGATCGACCCATTTTTCTTTGAAATCTCGAATATCGAAAGAGATATAAAAAGAATATCTTGTATATCTCGTATTTCAAAGTTTGTTTTTAATTACCTTAATATATAATCGCGCTCTCTCACCCTTGACACGACGTCGAACGTCCAATCAAATCCATCGTCGCTTGGATCACTTTCATCTTTCTTCCAATTTCAACTTACATCGTGTTACGTACAACGTATAATAAAAGATGGAGAAAGTGCACGTACATATCGAAATTTCGAATTCATTATCGTGATGATCGAAAACACGCATCATTGATCAACGTAAAAATAAAATTGCATTTCTTTCTCCGTTCCATTGGTATTAATTATCTTTAAAATGCCGAATTTAAACCGATCAATTAATTTATATTAACATTAAATATACGTGTTTCGTAATACATACACGTAGAGATGCTACGTGGTACGTGCTAATATACGTATTAAAAATTAATACTTACTCGCGTCACGCGATCCCACCGTCATAAGAAACTATATGTTTAGTGGATTATCGATGATGTACGAATTATTTTCTAACTGCTGTTCCGCTCTGTCTATTTTTAATTCATTGAACAGTCTATGTTAATGTATTTTTTTCTCGGATGAATCGATTTTTTTTTATTACAAAAAGAATTTTGCGAAAATAATTTACAACAATTAATACATTTCTTCAATTATCTATTCTTTTCCAATTCTTTCAATTCGTTCGTTTCTTTTTCGAGTATTTCCAAAGAATTCGAATAGATTTCGACACGATCGGAAAATCATATTTTTTTCTTCTTCTTCTTCTTTTTCAATATTTCATCCATTTATATCACGTGCATGATTTTTATGATAATTATCGATATGATATGTGCTTGCTTGTTACATTAGCATGATATTTATTAATATTAAGCGACAAATTATAGGTAATGCGAATGATATGCACCACGAAGAGAAAAAAATATCGACGTTACTTATCATTAATACTAATAGATAATATTACGATAATAAATCACACTCTGCTCTAAATGTATTATCCAAATGTTGTTATTCTTGCTGTTATTATTATTATTGTAATCACAATTCGCGATGGTCGTCTTCATCGTTGTTATTGTTATCATCATCATCATCATCATCATCGTTAATCATCATTACTATTATTATAATATTATCATCATCCCGTTATCAGAATTATTTCTATGATTTTTTCCATCATTATCGAAACCATATTATTAATATTTTATTCGCTTTGTAACAATGGCGTGAATGATGCGAAAAACATTTGTAACGGTTCGAAACAGGCGCACGCATAATAGCTTCAATTTGCGCGAATTCATTCGTCTTCTAAATCTATAAAGGATCGATAGTAGAAATTAGCGCTCTCTCTCTCTCTCTCTCTCTCTTTCCCTTTCTCTCTTTCGCTCCTAAGCGTGAATGCGTGCGTGTGTACGAGCGTGCGAGCGTGTGTCATAAACTACGCTTTCATCTCGACGTTTTCCTCTAGATAAAGAAGAAAAAAAGGCACGAAAAGACCGGTTTCCGTTAAAAATCATTTAATTTGACAATCTTGTAAAGGGAAATAAATACAAAGATTTACATAAATTTTCTCGTTACAGGCGTGTCTGGTGGAAATTGCCAGCCACGAGGTGCTGTATTAAACGGCACCATTAGAATAGTAAACTAGTTAGTGCTTATTTATCTACTAATCGAATACTGTCCGAGAGCCTCGCCGGATTTTATAATAAAAGGGGGAGCTTGAAACGACCATGGGGAAACAAAATAGCAAACTGAAACCGGAAGTGTTAGAGGATCTCAAGCAGAATACAGAATTTTCAGGTAAATTTCTAATCAATCAATATTAATAAATTCGTATCTCGATGATAGGCAAGTTTATTATAATTATCAATCAAATTATTATATGATATGAAATTCTATTTTCTATTCGAAAGCTAATAATTTTTTCAACGGAACAAAATTATTAAAATTACTCTCCCTTTTTCTCATTCGTTTTTTTTCTTCTTCTTTCCCCCAAGTTTCTCCGAGATTTTATAATTTAATATTTTAATATTAAATATTTTATTAATTTAATATTATTATTAAATATTATATTTTAATAATTTAATATTTTATCTTTGTTTAAAGATGCCGAAATTCAAGAATGGTACAAAGGCTTCTTAAAGGATTGTCCGAGCGGTCATCTGAGCGTAGAAGAGTTTAAAAAGATATACGGAAATTTCTTCCCTTACGGTGATGCTTCCAAGGTAAATCAAATTAATTATTTCGTTTGTAGAAAATGCATCGAAAGTACGTTCGTCAAGTAATATCGATCAAAATAATTTTATTTGCGTTAACGTTTCATTTCCATTTCTCTATCAATCGAAAACTGAATTGGGTATCGAAATGATTTTCGATCCTCGCGCAATTAATAACGAAACGGATATTTTTGAAATCGATCTCAATTCGCGAAAAGAAATCGAATCGTTGTCATTTAATAAAAAACTTTCGATAAAGATTAATCGGCAATGTTATTTGTATATAATAATAAATAATCCCTGATCGATAAATTTCACATTGTTCGAATTCGATATTATTCATGGATGTGTAATATAACAGTTTGCAGAACACGTGTTCAGAACATTCGATGCGAATGGGGATGGAACAATCGACTTTCGAGAATTTTTATGCGCCCTCAGTGTAACATCTCGCGGTAAACTGGAACAAAAATTGAAATGGGCCTTCAGCATGTACGATCTCGATGGTAATGGTTATATCTCGCGGCAAGAAATGCTGGAAATAGTGACGGTAAGAATAATCAAGATTAAGGATTATTCTAAATGGTAATTATAGAAAAATGATAAAAAAAAAAATAAAAGAAAAAATATTGAAATGTTTTAAAATTCGAAAGCATAACATTCGATGCAATATATTTTCTTTTCGATAATATTCTAATATTACAAATTTGGGACAATAAAAAAGAACGTTTAATATATAATAAATATAAATATTAATTTAATACAATCACCTAAATTTGTATCAGATATCTAAATTTGAATTTCTTTTTTTTTTCTATATAATAAATCTATCCAATTTCTGAATTACGATAGAACGAATGCAAATATATATATATATATATATTATATATATATTATATTATATATGGATATTTGAGTATTCACGTTTCTTCGAATATTAATTTTTCGAAAGGTTATTTTCTTTCTCCTTTAATAAAATCCATCTTATATCTATCTTATAATTACCATCGAAACTAATGTTTTTAAATAAATGTTTGTAAAACGAGTGTGAAAACACTCGATTTATTTATCAGGCAATCTATAAAATGGTGGGTTCCGTGATGAAAATGCCCGAGGACGAGTCGACGCCGGAAAAGAGAACCGATAAGATATTTCGACAAATGGATAAAAACAAGGATGGGAAATTATCACTCGACGAATTTATAGAAGGAGCGAAAAGTGATCCGTCTATCGTGCGACTGTTGCAGTGCGATCCTAGTGCACAAGCTCAGTGAGGCCCTGGGCTATTATTACGCAAGTATTACTGTGTCATCTATATACATGTGTATAACTATATCGGGACCCGGTCCGATAATCTTCGATAGAAACGATTAAAAATTTATCACGATATGTATCACGAAGAAAACTTTCGTAAACTTTTTTTTCCGTTTTCTTTTCTCTTTCTTTCCATATATATATACACTTCTACGTACGGTAAACGCGTTATAGATTTTTATGCGTAGAAAAAGAAATATCTTTATGAACGTTTAATCGTTTCTGAAAAATATAGATATGGGACAGAAGAATAAGGGATAATTGTAAATTGGGCCGGTACCCGAATAAGTCCAAGGTCTCCGAGCCCATGGCGCTTGCGCATACCGCAAGCTAGTCTAAAAGACTAGTCCAGTCGCTCCGTCTCGTAAACGGATCGGTTTTAACGTAAATTTTCATATATCTCGATAGTATCTCGCCCTTCTCTCTGCTGCGTACGAACGAATGACTGAAAATCGAAATTATACGATGTATGGATATGACACCGCTCGATACACGCTGTCATAATTGTTGAATTCTCTAGATTTTANTTCGATGATTATTCCTCTCGTTAATTCACGCCCATCAGAAATCTTATCGCGAAACTTCGTGTCTTTGACCATTGTTAATTTCATTAATTTTTTTCAATCGAATTATGTATGAACGCATCGTTTTTAAATTAATCTTACTTTATCGAGCATGTTTTTATCGAGCAGTCGTCCTTACCATCGTCAGTCTCCGTCATATGCAGCTCAAGGGTAAATTAATTTTTAAACGTGTTATATCATCTTTGTAAGCTATTTGCAAAAATATATTTTATATCTAATACGTACGATAATAACGTTCGTCATTTTTAGCGAATACATCGTTTTTAATTTTTCAGCATACGTATATTGTATCAAACTATTCATTATGGAAAAGACTTATTTGCGAGGTACCGTAACTATATTAGCAACGAATAATAAACAGTTATATAGTCATCGAAATAACAAAGGTCATTGGATAAAATATTGATTCTCGGTTTCTAACCTAATAAATCATCTGATTAAGAGTTTTATTAAATCTTAGCAAATTTTCTTTTATATGTATATGTATATATATATATATATACATTCGTGATATTCTTATTAAAAAATAACAAAAATATAAAAGACTGCAAAAATATTGATATATTGATACGTTATCGTTATTCGATATAATACTCAAAATCTTCAATAATGTTGAATAAAAATTTCCAATTTCTTCTAAAAGTTGTATTTCTATGACCTTTGTTGCTATTGCTTTATCGATATACGTTCATTTTTGATAGAACATAAATTCAGCTAGAAAAATAACGGTAAAATTGTTAATTATATTTCTCGTAAAAGAATGAAGAAATAATCAAGTTCATCATTGCCTATTTCAAAAGTAACTGAATTGATCGTACGATTTTCAGTTACTTTCGACAAGCTATTCTGAAAAAAACCTAGATCAAGATTTCGAGCCGAAAGGATTTCGAAGGAGAAAAATAATATAATAAGAGGAAAATGAGGGGATGAAAAAAAAGAAGAAAAAAGAATAACACGAATAAAACATGAAAATGAAGGGGAGGGAGGGGGAGAGAAAAAGCCGAAAGAATAACTCGCTCACGTGCATCAACCGTTTTAGAGATTTATTTTTGCGAATGCGTATGTCGCGTGTCTAAGTACGTGTGCGAACATGCTATGTATGCGACTAAATATTTTCATGTATATTTGCGCGTATGCATACGAGAGTAGAGAGAAAACGGAAAATAGTAAAAAGAAAAAAAAAAATAATAATAATAATAATAATAATAATAATAATAAATAATAACAAAGAATAAGAGAAAGAAAGAATAATTTAGTTAATTCAAAAATTTATATAAAAGCGACATGAAATGACATAGAGATATAAAGATGCAGAACAAAGAAATTAGCGAAATAATTAAGTAAAATCTCCCACTAGCTATTGTTCAATTAGGATTAATTATATTGATACACGTTACATATGCATATATGTGTACGCGATATTATAACTCTGTTCATTTTTAATATGATACGTAATAATATAATACGACAATTTTCTAGTTCCTTAATTGTAATATGATCAATTGGTCGATTCGTATATCGAACGGAATATTTTTTCGAATATCGAATAAATTTCTGCGTGCAGAAAAAAGAAAAAAATATGATTATTTATAGAAAAATACGTGGGAAAAGAAAAATTCATTCACGTTGTTTTTTCACGCTCTTCGTGCTCTTCTTTTCTTTTTTATAATTAACAATCGAATTAAAAATGATCCAACTTTCGATTCTTTCGTTTTTCTCTCTTCATTTTGACGTGTGATCATGATATCATGATGATTTCGCACTTGGTCGTTCGCACTATTGTTTTACGGAAGAGCAACGTATTATTAAGATATAAATATGTGTATATACATATGCATATACATACTTAATATATATATATATATATATATATACACGTATATATGTGTGTATGTGTATATTCGTATCTATACATATATATCTGTTATACTTTCTAAGATGTACATTCATCTTGTGCTCATTAATAATTAAGGATAAAGACTACATAGATTATATATCTTTTATTCGTATATAATCACGCTGTATAAATTAAATAACCTCATTAAAAAATTAATATATAAGATTCTAAAATAAATTTTGAATTTTTCTCGCTATTCGGTAGGATAAAAAATAGCAACATGAAGAAAAAAAATTAATTAATTATAAACATAACGTAACTTTGCCTTCTGAAATATAGAAAAAAAAAAAAAAAAAAAAAAAAAAAAAANAAAGAAAGAAAGAGAAGGGAAACGAAGAAAATTCTATTTAGATAAAATAGGATCGATATTTTACATTCGATAATTGTTGACGCAAAATATAATTATTATGTCTTAAAGCAGGAGGAGAAGCAATAAGCAAAAAGATAACCGGTAAATATCGCGATTAAATTAGAATTATTCTCAACAACAAAAACCGATTATATCGTATAATTTTTATAATTTCGCCCAGTATTTAATCATTTTTAAATAATTTTTTTTATGAGAAAACCACATAACATGGATATTATAAATCGTGTCAATTTATTGAAACACGAATACTATTAGTTACATTTAATATACCTATAATAATTGAAAATTATTGAAAAATGGAAGGAAGAAACATTTTATGATGATAATTAAGAACGATATGTAGTAATTATATGTAGTTATTAAAAATTTCTCTAAATTTTGTATCATTGTATATAATTAATATTTTCATTTTATTACGTATTCTTCCTTTAATTTATTCAAAAATAATATTCTATTTTATATCTTATATTTTATAACGATTTTAATTTATCATCATTCGTTTTCGTTTCCGATTATTTATATTATTTTATATCGATTAGATATAGATATAAATCAATTTATGTATACAAAAAATATATAAATAATTTTTTCTTAATTTATTCTTAATTTAAATCACAGTTTTTTTTAACAATTACAATACAATAATATTATATAATAAATATTTGAATAATGTTTTGTTCATATGATATTTATTAAACTTATCCAACATAATATAAACTATTCTTATATCTTTTTTTTCTTTTTCTTTTTCTTTTTCTTTTTTCTTTCAATTTTCAGAAATCATTAAATAATTAATGATTAATGATTATTATTGATATCAAACTAACAATAAATATATGCACAAAGTTATTTTAACAATGTAAAATGTACGTATATTTAAATACAACAAATGTCAGAAAATATATACGAATGTACATAAATATATTATACTTATATATTGTAGACATAAAGATCGAAAAACGAAATGTAGCAAAAATAATATTTTAAGTTGATATACTTTCCATTATTGAATAAATTATCTAATAAATTTTTTTCCATTTATTTATTATTTCAATTATTATATTTTTCGATGTTAAAGAGAAAAATTTTTTTTTTATAATTATTGAGACTCGTCACGCAAAAATTCATTATCATATTTTTTTTCAAATCAAATGTTCATTTCTATTAATAATATTTGCTTAATTTTACATATACAATAAATTTGACATTATCTACGATATTGTAAAGAGATAATATTATAATAACTTTGTTCACATCTGTGTTTTATAAATTTAATAAAATATTCATATACAAATATTCTTGAAACCCTTAATGGTACGCAATAATTATTTGAAATCATGATTTTTATATTATATATATAAAATAATATTTTACCAAATTTTGATTTAGTAAAATCTCAATAAAAAATTCATAATATTAATATTTAATAACAAAATTTAAAAAAAGTAAAATAAAAAAAAAAAGACTATGAAAAAAAATATATGCGGATAAAAAAGGAAAGGAGAATAAAACAAATTTTGATATCGCAAAAATAAGACATGAGAAATATGTTTAAAATGATGAAATTGAAAATATAAATTCTAGAAATTTTTTCTAGTAATTCTTACAAAAATAATATTATATTTTTTCATTTTTTATATTGAATATTAAATACGAAATAGCATAAACATTATACAAATTATGTTAAAAAGAAGAATAAAAATAACAATGGTGAGCAAAGAAAATTATATCCTTTAAGGGTTTCTTTAATAAAATTAAAGAAAAATGTATTTTACGATATCATTTATCGATGTGATAAATTTTGTTGAATTTATTTGCTAAAAATTTTATTATATCTCTTCTGATATTGATTTATTACAATCTAAGTTAATTGAAAAATTACATTGTTTCGAATTATTTTTATAAATATGTTATAAATTGTTATAATTAAAAAAGTACAATGTTTTTATGAATTTCTATAATGGAATGATAATTGCAACTAATAAAATTGATATACTATTTACTATCTACTCACTACTCACTGTGTGCTCGTGTTTATCGTGATATATTTCTTCCTAAACTGTATAATTTCTTCTTAAAAATATAATAATATATTAAAATTTGATTATCGAGACTATCCAATAATTTTATCTTCTATGAATAATATTTATGATTTAATACCATAAATTTTATGTCAAAACAATATAATAATTATAATGCAGCATGTAGCATGAAAACAAACAATATTTTTCTTTCACAAACAGTTTTAATAAATGTCAACATTTGTTGTATATTAAAATTTATCTATACTATATTATGATTTTTGCCTAAGATTTTAATATTCTTAATAAATTTATTAAATTATTCTCTAAAAATAGTAACAGTATAACAGATTATCGATATTTCTTGTACCAAAAATGTATCACAAAAAATTTAGTAGTATTTCCAATATATATTTCTCTATTATATATACTATAATTGATCTTAACAATAACAATAACATGCCTTGAAAACTTTCTGCACTTATCAAAATCTTACAATATGTACGTATACGTATGTCAATAATAATTGTAATAGAGTCGTATAGTTTTATAAAATAATTTTGCATATTTTTCGATTTTTATATATAATATTTATGTAATTTTATTTCGAATAATTCTTTTTTATAATAGTTTATAATAGTTTAAAAATTCATTTTATGTAAATCTTCTTTATAATTCTAATTATAATTCGACTTTGATTAATAATTATTTGAAAACATACAATTTAAAAAAAAAAAAACACATATATACATACAAAGTTTTTCATACATCAATCATATATACAAAATTTCGTTATTTTTATTTTATATGTACTTCTTATTAACATTCATTTTCACAAATATCAAGTGTTAATATTTATTTTATTAATCGATAATTTCCATTATGATTAATATTTTAGCTAGTTGTTACGTTAATTAAAAAAAAAAAAAAGATAGATACTCTCTCCTTTTGTTTTTTCATGATAAATCTTTTTCGTTTCAATATAAAAAATGAAATTTCATATTGAAATCATATAAATTTTCTTACATAATATTTCAGACGTTCAGAAATATTAAAATAGATGATATATTTATCAAATAATCAATGATTGAAAAATACTTTCATTTCTACTCATCTTGCTGTTTCTATCTATCCTATTTTATTTTATTTTTATTTAAAATAAGGATTAAAAATGGATTAAAAGAACTATACGGCTCAAATTTTAATAAATAATAAAAGTAACAAATGAAATGATAGTTTTTATTCCATTGATATCAATCAAATGATTGTATTTTTCTTCTTTTAATAATTTATCATCTATTAGTGATAACTTTGTAATTTTTTATAATTTTTAACATTTATTAAGCTCTTTCTATTTTTTTCAAATTACGTTAAAAATTGCATTATTTTTTTTAATTATTTCTGAATCAATATTTTGTATCATTAGCAAATTCTGGTTTATATTTATATATATTTATATATATTTATCGGTGCTAAATATATATATATATATATATATATATATTATAAAAGTATAAAATTTATATTATATTGTTATTATATTTATATTATATTATTATTAAAATCATTTTTTTTTTAAACTTTTGCCTAACTACTTTTGTACCAAGATATTTAGAAAAAAATTTTAAACAAATGATGATTTAAAAATAACAAAAGTCAAGACATGTCAAAAATAATGAAATAACCAATAATTACCGATATTATATTGGATACTGAAGTAGTTTGTGCAAAAGTAGAATATATAGATTTTTATATTATAATATTATTAATTATATAGATCTAATAATTAATCAGTTAATTCAATATACAGATAATTTATAATATTATATATATTATAATGTGTGTGCGTGTGCATGCGCGCGCGCGCGTGTGTGATGCGTGTGTGTGTGTGTGTGTGTGTGTGTGTGTGTGTGTGTGTGTGTATGTGTGTGCGTAACAATATAGTATAAAATACTAATATTGTACAAAATAAAGGATTAAAAATCAAAGCACAATTCATCATTTTATCAAATTGTATTGAGACTAATATACATGTAAAATATTTAAGTACAATATTGGTTATAAAACATGATATATTAATTAATTTGCTTTTATGTTTTAGGCATATTTATTATTAATTAAAAGTATTAAGTTTGTTATAAATAATAGTTAACGATATAGTAGTTTATAATATAAATAAGATTGAAATAATTTGTGTATCAAATAATTACTATATAATTATTAAAGTGTTGATATTATACTCGTTCAACTTGAGTTTTAATATATTTTAATAAATTTTCTAACAATTGCATGATAAAATGAATATTTGTGAAGATATGTTAAAAAAAAAAAAATTGATGATGTGTAAACTATAAAATTGTATATTTTTATTTTATACAGCAATGTAATTTTAATTTACTATTTAATATTAAAAGAAAAATATTCCAGAATTCGACGTTACCGCATCATATATAAAGGTATTATGAACTGGTTTATATTGATTTGTAACAAATTTTATAACTTCTTGAGCTGCAAGGCCACCTAAAAATGCTGATACAGAATGCAATTCTGCTCCACCAAATCGACAAAATTCATGGACATAATCATCTTTTACCAATGGTCCACATCCCCATTCGTTTAATAATTTTGTTATGCATGCCTAAGATTAAGAGTTAATTAATTATATTAATTATATAATAATTTTTATTTTCAATCCTCAATCCTCTCTTCTGATATTATTATTTTATATAAAAACATACTTTAAGCTTAACAATATCAGGTTCTACTTGATCATCAAACTCTCCAGGATACGAGTTATATTCTGCTTGAAATTTTTCAACCCCCCTAAGAACAACATAATAAATCATCATACTTTCTGGATTTTCTAAACTTTGCACTGGAAAAAATAATACATATATATATATATTATTTATATATATATATATATATAAATACATATATATTATATTCTTATGGTATACAATATTCTATATATGGTATTCTTTTATTTAACAATTTATTTTTTTTTATATATATAATTTTTTTATACTTTATAGCACGAAAAAAAACTTTCGATAGCAATTTAATAATATTTCATTTATAAATATTTTACCTATATCACTTGTATCAAAAGTTTTAGAATCATATTCATCCGCGATACACGTTCCTTTTTCTACGTGTATATTCGAAGCATGTCTGCAAAACAATTTAACATCTCTTTCGGAAATAGAATCAGACGATTTTCCTAATTGTCGTAATAATTGCAATGTACGTCGCCATACTGATTCTGCATCAGCTATCGCTTGTTTGTAATAACTGAAATGGATAAATATGTGTAAAATATATATATATATATATATATATATATATTTACAATTAAAAAAAAAAAAAGATATCTTTTTAGTAAACTTTTTGTAACAAAAAAAATCTCACATTTGCTGAAGCGTTATATATTTCTCAGTATCCGCAGTCATATCTGGTAAAGTACCTTTTAATGGTAATAATCCAGCTCCTTCATTTTCAACAAAATCCCTTACCGCTTTTGCTATAATCCAAAATGAACTGCTCTGAAAATATGTTAAATCAGTTTAAAGTTATATTATCTATTAATTTAATCAACACTTTCTTTCTTCTACCTTAGCTGTTAGATTAATACATTGATCATCATTAAGAATATTCATCACATTATCTGGAATCTCAGTATGTCCCACACATGTATTAACAGCTTTAACAGCTTCTTCAAAATTTTCTTCGCTATTCGCAGTATCATTCTCATCTCTTCTCATTGCCTCTTTTATCATTTCTTTTAATTGATGTTTTTCTTTATAAGTTTTAGGTAAATCCTTTTTATGTAAAGTCCATTTTTCTAGAAATTTATATAATATAACTAAGTATGGTATATGAGAATGATCTTTAAAACTCAGTTCATCTAAGTTTATGGTATCAAAATGTTTTTTTAATATCTCAAATGGCTTGTCTAAACGTAAATCTGGAATTTCATTATCTGGATGTGTTTCTATAATCGTATGTTCTTTTACTTGAATTCTCATATATGCGATAAATCCTATACTTCTACATACTATTAAAGGTATATTTAATTCCCAAAGTCTTTGCGACAGAAGAATTAAAGATCTGAAAATTTTTTCTTTTGAAATGTACGATTTAGAATAATATTAAAAATTTTGCTATATTATTATTGGCTGCAATGATTCTTACTTTTCTGATAAAGAAGTGGCTACGACAACGGTAAAATTATTAAAAAAATCTGGACTATTACATAAAATTTGTTCAGGTTCCTCGTCTATATAATCACCTCTAACATCTGAATTTAGCTCTAAAAGCATTTGTGTTGCTACTTGTGCCCTTGATTTTCCTAAACTGTCTGCTTCTAAAAAAAAACTATTAAGATATAATATTAAGACATATGATAAATGAAATAAAAATATTTTCAATATATGTTATGTATATGAACCAAGATCAATATAATTAATAATATTTTCATATATATATAATATATATATATATATATATACTTTGCACCGATATCTTCATTAGTAATTTTCTTGCCATCTACAATTGTAAACGCTCCAATACCTGGTAAGACTACAGATTTTAAAATTTCTGTACCAAGGCCTGTAGCATTTATTACACAAATATGTGCTCCTTCTAATGCAGCTTGACCATGATCACCCCATAACCTATATTTTAACATTATATATATTATTTTCTTTATTACATCATATTATATAATTTCATTAAATTATACGGAATTTATTAAAAAAAAAACTTTCTTACTTATTTCGTATAAATATTAATATAACTCTGATATAAAACAACTTAAAATTCTAATTTATTTAATTAGTTTCGATTAAATTTATCATTCCGAAAAATAGGTTAGACATTATATTCACATACCTCAATTGTCTATCATATTTTCTATTTCTTTCAGATTGTTCTGGCGATTTTGGTGCTGGTGATGCCATAAGGATAAACTAATAATGGAATAATGATATATATAATATTTTACTTTGGACAATATAAAATATTACTTTCGATCAAAATTATATTCACAACAACGCTTACTCTTATACTTATAAACTTGCACGAATCAATACAAATGAATCAATTTTGTAATGTAAAATAAATTAAAATATTTTCATCGATCAAAATTAAATAGTTTCTAAAATTATATAATAAAATTAAAAATTAATAAAAATAAAAGGAAAAATAAGATTTTTAATATTAATTAAAAATGAAAGAAAATCAATAAATATATAAAATATTTCAAATAATTTCTTATAACCTATGCCTTAATTTGCAACTTATAAAATTTAAAAGTCTAAAAGAGTAAAAATTAATATATAATTCGGATCTTTTCTCATCGAATTTTAATTATTAATTCAATTCATTCACTCATATATATATATAATAATTAATAATAATATATAATAATATATAATATATAATTTTAACAATGTGAATAAGTTAAAACGAATGTAATTAATTTATTATTAAAGTGATCTTTTTCTCATCTTTTTCCCCACCGATCCTATTTTATCATCAACATATATATATATATATATATATATATATATATATACTTTTTTTATTTCTTTTTTTACATTTTGACAGATATTTTTTTCCTACTTCATTTGTAATCATTTGTAAACAAATATGTACTAAATAAAAATAAACTTCAATCTGTGTAATTTCTAATAAATATACAGATATCCGTCTATTTTTCGAAATAAGTTCCTTCCTTTAATGCGACGAAGTATAACATTTTGGTTGTAAATTAAAGATTAAAAAATTAAAAATTTTTAAGTATCAACGCCATCTTGCTTGAAATTTTATTAAATATTCTAAATTTTGATTCATTAACAGAAATATAAAATGTATATGATTTAAGAATATTTAATAATAAAATTACAAACATTGCGAAAGAATGTTTAATATTCTTTTCTATTTCTTTTGTTGCTAAATCAAATTTTCATTTGTTTAAAATTTAAACATTAAATCCCACCGTTAATTAGATTAGAAAAGAGTAAGAATTGACCATTAACGCCATCTCTTAAATACCAAAAACATTATTTCAAATTATTCGAGAGATGACGGCAATCTTTACTCTATTTTATTTTTGAAACAGTGTTTGAAACTATTTTACTTTTACTTAAAAGATGGCACTGATAATCAATTTTTATTTTATTTATCCTTCTCTATATACGTTTGATCTATGATATTCTAGAGATGGAAATAGTTTTCGAATTTGTATATCGACCTCTGTCCTTTTATTTGTTATTCTTGTTTATATTATCTTTACTATATAAAAAATATATTTATGTGCTCAAAAAGACGGCTCTGATATCTGATAAATTTTATCTTCTAACGATTAAAAATTTTTTTTTACTTTTTAGTGATTAAAAATCTTAATATTAAAATCTTAAGACAATATTATAACTTATTATATTATAATGTACAATTATATATATAAAAATTATAAATAAATAAATAAATATATATATATATATATATATATATATATATAAAATCTTAATAAAATTAATATCATTTTTAAAATTTCGTTTGTAAATTGTATCATATATATTATATCATATCAATTAGTAGAATTAAGTTTATATGTATGTATATATGTATGTACAATCTGTCTTTTGTACAATCAATTCATATGACAAGCATAAACAATTTTCTATTTGAAATTTTGAACTTCGTTTCTTATATGGCAAACCAACCTTACACGATGTTTTTAAACGAAAAGTTTAAAGTTATTTTCACTGTACTATAAGAATTTTCAATTTTTACAAAAATGGTAGGTAATTAAAATATGTTAAAATGCAATCACAAAAGTATCTTCAGTTAACTTTGGCAATAATTAAACCACATATTGTTAAATCTCCTTTTGTGCTTCAGGTAAGAGGATATAACCTAAATTTTACGCAATTTTATGCGATATAAATAAGTACTACATACTTACATAAGTAGTACTTAAATTACTTACATAATAATTTTAAATGGCAGCAAAAAAAAAAAAAAAAATGGGGTTGACAGAACTGTTGGTTTTCTTTCCTTTGAATAAAAATACGGTAATATTTAAGTAATATTGTAATTTTCAGAAAATTCGAGATTTAATAATTGACAATAATTTAAAAATTGTCAGATCACGCAGGACGATAATTACACAGAAAGAGGCAGAATTATTTTATGAAGAACATAAAGAAAAATTTTTTTACAATCGTCTTTTAACATTTATGTGTAGTGGTCCATCAGATATTCATATTTTAGCAGATCATAATGCTATTGCTAAATGGAGAAATTTAATGGGTCCTACAAAAGTATACGAGGCACAATACATTGCCCCTAATACAATTCGAGGAATGTTTGGTTTATCAGATACAAGAAATGCCACACATGGTTCTGGTATAATTCATTCATTTTACAAAAATTGTGCTTATTATTAATTATATATCATATATAAATAAAAATTATTCTTCTAGATTCGGTGAAATCTGCTGAGAGAGAAATAAGAATATTCTTTAAGAACTTTGATTTACAAAAATGGTATGAATATGAGGAAAAATATTATAATTTAGGTCAAGTTCACTTTGACCCAATAGCATTTTTACATACTATTGATCAAAAATTTATGAACAGTAATAAAGGACAAATTATAAAGTAAATATTCCAAATAGAGTACCTGATTTTTATAATTTAATAGATATTTAAAAATATAGACAAAAAAATTGTGTATGTTATATTATACAATATAATTAAATATAAATAGATGTATATACATATATACAAACATATATCTTAATATAAATGATGCAATTCAATATCTGACAAAGAATTCAAAAACAAACTCGGCATTTCACTTAAAAAACAGTGAAATAAGTTTATATAAATGTTATTTATATCTTATATATAATCTTATTTTTTATTTGTTCTATACTTAAGATTCAAAATGGTATTCTTATTAAGATTAATCTTATCTTTTATCAATGAACTAAATTAATTAACTAATTAAATGAAACGAATATCTTTTTTTTTATAAATGCACACATATATATTTAGTTTTTTCAATTTTTTTTTTTTTTAGCTACATATATTATTACATATGTGAGCATTTTAATTGGGAAATTATTAAATCAGATTCACATTTATATAAACTTATTTTGTCATTTTCAAATATAATCGTGGCATATTTTCTTATAATCCTTTTTACTTTTGGATAAAACTTAATTTTATAAATAAAATATTTTAAATATATCTAAAATTTTTATATCACATGTTAAATAAAGTTTAAAAAGAAAAAAAAATATAACTATATTTATATATATGACATATATACATATATACATACACACACACATACACAAACACACACATATATGTATATATGTATATACGTGTCAAAATTAAAAACATAATCCAAAAAAAAAAAAAAAGAAAATCATTGTTATCTATCAGCAACTCTACCATTTTGTTAACATCATTATTCTATGATTATATTTATATTTAACAATATAAGATGCCCTTCAATTATAATTGTTAATAAAAATTGAAATTATATAATAAATTCAAAAAGTAAAAGTCTTTTTTTTATTTTTTTTTTTAATAATAATATAAAAAAAAAAAAAAAAAAAACATTTCTTGATATTGCATCAAATTATAGTTCTTAAAGTCTCGTCACATATTATATAGAATAATCAATTTTTATTAAACTTTCTCTGGAAACTTTCTTTAGATAAATCAAAAATATATGCTTTATTTTTTTCAATATTTGATGATCTATTTAAATAAATTAAAAAAGATGAAATGTAAACAACTAATGCATTATAAAATGTATGGAAAGAAAAAAATTGAATTAAAAGAGCATGAAAAAAATAATTACATTCGAAAAAAGAACCCAAAAACATATGAAGTAATAGAATTAAATAAGAATGTATAAAAAGAATAATATATGTTTGTATCATATAAATAATATTAAAATCCTAATGTTCTCAAATGTTCTTTTACTTTTTGACTTTCAAGAGTATAAATATATACTCAATTTGACGAAATGGTAAAGCTCCATTGAAAAATGAGAAAAACACTTGTGGAGCTTTTTTGTTGTTTCTTATAGATTATGTTACACCCTCTGTAACCTTTTTTAAGAAAATAATAATTTAAGCATTCATTTTTACATAAACTTTTGGTCTTGAGAAAACTTTTATTCCTTCTTCTAATTTATTCAATTGCTTTTCTATTTCTATTTTTCGTCGCTGCGCCCTAAGTGTATCTACTTTTATAGGCATCATATTTAACTCGGTTACATAATCTTGATAATCTGTAATAATAGTATTAGTTTGTATAATTTTAAAAATGATTTTGCATTAAAAAAACAAATTTTAAATCACATACTCTTTTTTAACATTTGTAATGTTTCTTTACGTTCGCAATCAGGCAATGGAATATGTCCATTTGGACAATTAGGATCTAATTCTTCTATTTTAGCTTTCTGTACCTGAATTTCTTTTCTATTTTTAATATACCTAATAAGAAAAAATTGTTTTTCAATAAAATAATCCCTATCATTGCATTTAAAACGTAGAAAATAAAATTAGAAGTATTATTTATACACATTATGAATGATTATTTTAATTATTACTTTAATATTTGCAATGTTATTATTATAATACATTGAAGCATAATATATAAAAAATAAATAAATAAATATATGATTTTTATATATGTATATATTTATTTATTATTATTCATTTGTTTTATTTTTTTATTTAAATTAATTGATTAATTATTGATTAATTATTTTGATTATTTTATTAAATATTAAAATAATTATTGAAATAATCATTTATAATTGTATATAAATATATCATTGGAATATCACATACTTTGGAATTACACCCATACGATAATTATTAGGAAGAATATTATTGGTATTGTTATTCATTTGCGTTATTTTATTAGTCATAGAAGTATGTTCTTTGTTTAATTTAATAAAATCTATCTCTTCTTTAGGTGATACAAATTTGGAATTTTTTATACCATTTTTGTTATGTACATTTTTTTCAAGAACTTGGACATCTCCTTGATCTAAAGGTGAATTTTTTATACTCCTTGAAGATACATCAATTTGTTCATTTGCATTATTATTAGTTGATGCTTCATTATAATTTAAATGTTTTTTTGAAGGATACCTATGGAACAAATTATTATTATATAACAAATAATTAAATATAAAATATTTTGAAAGAAACTACAAGAATATAATCTACAATAAGTTACAAAGTTTCATTTTATACCTTTTATTACAAAGTTATAAGCAAATATTTAACATATTATAAAATAGATATTTACTAATGAATAATGAATTTTGTAGGATATCAATATCAATGTTTGATTGTATTTACTTTATTTATATGATATGATTTATAAAATATAAAATAATTTATTACTTTACTTATTTAAAATATTTAAATCGTCAATATAAATTTAATATCAATATAATACGAAGTTTATTGTATCCCATATTTTTGTAACATTTTATTCAACATTATTTCAACATTTATAAATTAAAAATTATTTAAAAATTATATAAATTATTAATTTTAAATTATATTGGTTCTTTAAACATAATTTCTTATACATTATAAGTTGTAAAGTATTAAGTTGTAAAATATTTATATTATATTTCATTATAATTTTGCAATTAAATATTTATATAACATTTTTTTTTTCATTTGTAAATTTTATTTTTAAAATTGGAAATTATATTTTTGATTGAGAAAATTATATATAAAAAAATTATAAAATATTTTATATATTTTATATTAATTACATTATATCGTTATATTTTATTATACATTATTATTATACATTATATTATTATAATCTTTATAGAAAAAATAGATTAAATAATCAAAAAATAATATTGTTTTTTAGAATAATGTTTTAAAAATTGTTTTTAATAATAATAACCAATTACATACTTAATTACTCCCTCTGAATATAAATCCTCAATTTCCTTTGTATTCAAAGTTTGAATAGCTTGACTTTTAACTTCAACTTGAACTTTCATATTATTATCAATATCCCCAATTGATTTACATGAAAAATTAGGATCCGATGAAATTTTCTCATGTAATTTTTGTATAGTTTTATGCAATCCCTTATGTTCTTTCTTTTTTTCTTTATTTATTAAATTTTTATTCGATGAATATATTGCCTTTTTTGTAGAAATATTATTTTTATTTAAAGCTGAAGTACTGAGTTTCTTATATAGTTCTTGAGATTCTACTTTATTATTTACACTATTTGAATTCACATTAGTATCGTCATGTCTTTTTATACGAAAATTTGAATTAATTTTTGATAAAACATTATCATTATTATTATTGTTACTGTTGCTGTTATTGGTGTTATTGTTACCAATAATTTTTTTTTTGTTATATTGTGATTTTTCTTCTATTCTTTTATTAATATGTAAATGTTCTATACGACGAAGATTTTTTACATTTTCTTGTATGAAATTTTTTCCTTTTATCGATTCTATATGAAATACAATACGAAATATAATATTAACTACTGAACAATTTCAAATAAAAATAATAATTATAAGTAAGAAACTATTGTTTTAATGTCTTTTAATAATAAATAATATGTAAATGACATACTTGAATCAGGAAAAATGCCCTTTAACGTTGTCATCTCAAAGTATTATTTAATACTGTCTAGAGGTGAACTTTTTTCTTCTTTTCATTCATCCATAAAATAAATAATATAATATTACAACTGTAATATTTTTAACTGAATAATTTTTAATGCATAATTTCAATTATTTCATTGAGCGTAACTAAATAAACAATGTTGTTTATGAATCGAAATACATATATATTTATATATATATAGTATGAATATATTTATATGAGTATATTCATACATATGTGTATTCAATTCATTCTACGCATCAAATTAATGATAATGAAAAAATAAACAAATTATTGGCTATCAAAATATCAATATTAGAACTAATTTATATCTTTGTACACAATGTTTCTATAATATATATATATATATATGTTGAAATGACAATAAATAACAAAATACAATTGTATTTAGAAAACTGAAATGATAAAAGTACTAATTTATCTTATATCTTTATTTAAATTTATAAAATTTATTTTATAATAAATGTTTAACAATAATAAATAAATAATAAAAAATGAAAAAATTAATCTCTTTTATTAAAAAATATATATTTTAAAGTATAAATATAATAATAACATTCTTTTATTATTATTTTTATAACTTATTTAAATATATATTTCTTTAATGCATATATATATGTATATATCTTTCATTATAACAATTATTTATTCTATATTTAAATAAATAAATAAATAAATACAATATTTTTATTTCACGTTTAATTTACAAATTATTATTAACTTTGCAAATTTTAATTGTTTAATCAATTATAAATAATAATAAAAATACTTTGCGTTAAATTTTGATTGTCTTTTGGAACGGTGTCTGTAGCGTGAAAGTGACTTTAGCCGTTTAGAAATGGATAGTTTACCGTATAGACATCAATTTACCGTACAAGCTTCAGACAAAGCGTAGGGTAAAAATAATATTTTTTGTGCAAGATCGATCACTCAATTGCCTGGTGAACAAAAAAAAATAACATAAAAGATATTTTATTCAAGAATTGATTAAGTTTAGTCATTTATTAACTCTGGTATTAGTTTATAGTTTTAATCTCAAAAGATAGAGATTTTATACTTGTATAAATTTCTGTTGCCGATACAACTTTGTATTTTTAGTAGAATTTTATTACAGGTAAATTATAAAAATAATTTTTAATTTAACGACATTCCAAAAAATACTTTTTACTTTTAAAAAATTTTTAAATTTTTATATATTATTTTCGAAAAAAGAAATCATACGTCAAATTAACGTCTTTTACTATGCTAGCCAATTACACAGAAAATGTTTTCCCGCCATATTAGTAAAATTTATTTCGGGTATGAAACTTTTAATTAAATATTTTAATTTTAATTTTAATCTTTTTATAAATTTATATAATGTCTTGGATTTATTTATATTTTTTATGGTTGTTTATTTTTATTTTTATATTTACCTAATTTTGTGTTTACTTAATTTTAATACAATCGTATTCCATGTTTTGAATATATAAATTATAAAAATTTGAACTAAAATTAAGTAAAATAAAATTTTATATCATTTATTTTATATCACATATTTAATTTTATTACCATTTTATAATTATATTAATAAAATTTATTTTATTAAATATCAATAATAGAAATAATAATGTACTGATATTGCAATATGGTTATATGATAATTTTAATGTTTACAAATAAAGAATGTTACATGTGAAATTATTTTTTCCATAAATTGAGAATATTATAATATAATAAATAATTTATATATATTTTATATAAAAAAATATAGTAATATATAAATGTAATCTTAATAAAAAAAAATAAAAAATTTAAATTATACAATGTGAAAAATGAATAACATATCATAATAATAAATAACAATCATTTAGAGAAATATTCTATATAATTATTAAAATAATTAATATGAATAAATATATGAATAATTTTAGTAATTAATTTTATGATTCATATGTTATTTTTTTTTAATATTGATATATAAATGATAATAAATGATAATAAATAATATTGATATATAAATAATAATTACTTATTAATTATTCATACATATATATTTGTATTTGATACATACATATTATGTATTTGATATATAAATTAATATTTTCATATTTTATAGTTATATAAAAAAATATCACATCAAAATGAGTACAGCAATAGAAAATGGAAGTAATGATAATTCAGCAAAGAAAAAAACTATTGAAGGCATATATCAAAAAAAATCTCAATTAGAACATATTTTATTGCGTCCTGATACTTATATTGGTTCTGTCGAACCAGTAACAGAAACTATGTGGGTTTATGACAAAGAAAAAGAATCAATGATACAAAAAGAAATAAAATATGTTCCTGGATTATATAAAATATTTGATGAAATTTTAGTAAATGCAGCAGATAATAAACAAAGAGATTCTAAAATGGATACAATTAAAATTGAAATTAATGCGTAAGAGTTCTATATTACTTTAATATTTAACATTCTATATTACTAATCATAATATATAATAATATATAAAATATTAAAATTATATGTATAATAGTGATTATATTATTAACAAAATATAATAATATAATAAACTTAATTTATATTAATTTATATATAGAGAAAACAATATTATATCTGTATGGAACAATGGTAAAGGCATTCCAGTGGTAATTCATAAAGAAGAAAATATGTATGTTCCTACAATGATATTTGGTCATTTGTTAACATCATCTAATTATGATGATGAAGAAGAAAAAGTAACAGGTGGCAGAAATGGCTATGGTGCCAAATTGTGTAATATTTTCAGTCATCGTTTTACCGTGGAAACTGCATCCAAGGAATACAAAAAATGTTTAAAACAAGTAAAGTCTCATAAAAATATATTTAAATCAGATGTTTGTATTTTTTATATTCCTTATAATAATGTATGTGTGTAATTTGATTATATCTATAGACATGGAGTAATAACATGGGAAGTGCAAGTGAACCTAGAATTAAAGACTTTTCTGGCGAAGATTTTACAAAAGTTATATTTTCACCAGATTTATCAAAATTTAAAATGCAATCTTTAGACGATGATATAATTGCTCTTATGTCTAGAAGAGCTTATGACATAGCAGCTTCTACAAGAGGTGTTAAAGTTTTTTTGAATGGTACAAAGATTCCTGTCAAAAATTTCAAGGATTATGTTGATTTTTATATTAAGGGTAGAGAAGATGATGTTGGCAATCCTTTAAAAGTTGTATATGAAAATTGTGGACCTCGTTGGGAAGTAGCTATTACTTTATCTGATAAAGGTTTCCAACAGATGTCTTTTGTAAACAGTATTGCAACAACAAAGGTAATACATATATAATAAAATAAAAAATAAATATTGTAAAAAAAAAAATTTGTAAATAGGGTGGACGGCACGTGGACCATGTTACAGAATTAATAGTAAAACAATTGACAGAAACATTGAAAAAGAAAAATAAAGCTGGAGTAACGATTAAACCATTTCAAATAAAAAATCATTTATGGATTTTTATTAATTGTCTTATTAATAATCCCACATTTGATTCACAAACTAAGGAGAATATGACATTGCAACCTAAAAGTTTTGGATCAAAATGTACACTTAGTGAAAAATTTATTACATCTGTAAATATTAAAATTATAATTTTGTATATATATTTTTCTATATGTTATATAGAATAAATTTTAATTTATATATAGGTAACGAAAATTGGAATTGTAGAAGCAGTTTTAACATGGGCAAAATTTAAAGCCGATAGTCAATTACAAAAGTTGGGACCCAAATCAAAACAAAGAAAGTTGCAAGGTAAATTATATGTAATAAATTAAAATATATAATACAAATAAATTAAATTATTTATGATTCATATATAAATATTCAAATATTCCTCATATTTTAGGTATACCAAAATTGGAGGATGCTAATGATGCTGGAACTAATAAATCGTTAGAATGTACACTTATATTAACAGAAGGAGATTCAGCTAAAACTATGGCTGTATCTGGACTTGCGGCAATAGGTAGAGATAAATATGGTATATTTCCTTTAAGAGGTAAATAATATAATATATTTAATATAAATTATAAAAATAATATAAATAATTATTCATAAATTACTTAAACTGTTTATACTTTTTTAAAATATTTTTAATTTTAGGTAAAATTTTAAATGTAAGAGAGGCAACACATAAACAAATTTTAGAAAATGCAGAAATTAATAATTTAATAAAAATTCTTGGTCTTCAATATAAGAAGAAATACGAAACTCGAGAAGATCTAAAAACATTACGTTATGGGAAAATGATGATAATGACTGATCAAGATCAGGTTAAATTTTTAATGAATTTTCGTATTTATATTTTAATTGTGTCAAAAAATAATTATATCATATATATTCCCGTAGGATGGGTCTCATATCAAAGGCTTGTTGATCAATTTTATTCATCACAATTGGCCATCATTATTGAAATTAAATTTCGTAGAGGAATTCATCACGCCTATTGTTAAAGCTACAAAAGGAAATCAAGTATTAAGTTTTTTTTCAATGCCAGAATTCAATAAATGGAAGTCGGAAACAGAAAATTTTCATACTTATAAAATCAAATATTACAAAGGTGCATTTATACATTTTAATTTTTATTTAATTTTATTTATTATTGATTATCATATTTGATAAATATTATATATATAAAAATATTTTTCTTACAGGTTTGGGTACTTCCACTGCCAAAGAAGCAAAAGAATATTTTGAAAATATGACTAGACATAGAATTCGATTTAGATATGATGGAGATCAAGATGATCAGAATATTATCATGGCTTTTAGTAAAAAATGTGTTGATCAACGAAAGGATTGGTTAATGAATCATATGGATGAAACAAAGAGAAGAAAAGAAATTGGTCTTGGAGAACGTTATTTATATGAAAAGGATACACGTACTGTATCTTTCTCTGACTTCATTAATGTAGAATTAGTTTTATATAGCAATTATGACAATGTTCGATCCATACCTAATATGATCGATGGTTTTAAACCTGGACAAAGAAAAGTATTGTACACATGTTTAAAACGTAATGATAAACGCGAGGTAAAAGTTGCACAATTGGCTGGTTCTGTAGCTGAACATTCAGCATATCACCATGGAGAAGTTTCTCTTATGTCAACTATTATTAATCTTGCACAAAATTTCGTAGGAAGTAATAATATAAACTTACTTCAACCAATTGGTCAATTTGGTACAAGACTTGCAGGAGGAAAAGATGCAGCAAGTCCTCG